CATAGTTTTAAAATAAAAAGTGACTATCTTAAGGAATTGCCTGAACATCAGACCAATGTTTACAGGTGTTAATGTGTGTGTGTAAATTATATCCCCTTTGTTTTAATCTTGAGCATAGTGCATATTAAGTGGTGTTCTGTTTTCAGACCTGCAGTGCAATTCAGTGTATTGACACCTATACAACAATTATAAAAAATATACCACAAATAAGTTGTTATTTTAATGTGTGTCAGTTTATCAACTACCAAATGTATTTTAATGCATACCAGGTTCCTTTAAAAGGAACCCAGTCTACCTCATTAAACCCAAATACCATTTTCCACTGAAGATACCAGCTTTATCTATCTTATCTATAAGGGAAAAAAATACATAACTCCACCAAAACTAAACAAGTAGAAGAAAAAGAAATCATGAATATCAGTAAAAATTGTGACACAGAATGAACTCATGCTTTTTATACCTATAATTTCTATGGATGGACCATTATCTGGAGAAATTAAAACAGCATTTAAAAAAGCTTTCACTGCATTGTCTTTGGAGAATTAAATATATGTGCTGTATTCACAAACGGAAGTTATATTTCTCTCAGTTGACAAAATCTCAGATTCACAATTACAGTGGAATACAAAATATCACATATTACAATTTTATATCTGAGAGGAGACATTCTACTTCCAGCCAATATATGTTCCATGATTCTAAGTGCAGAATATTTGGGAAATTTTAAGTATCATCAGGAAATAAGATGCATACTGAAAGAGGACATTGAAGCAAAAGGAACTTAATTTATGAAAAATAAGTTTGGCTTTAATTTCTTAACATATAGAGTTATGAAATATTTGGTCTTAGTGGACTTTTTGTATCCAATAATGTTGTCTGATGAAGTTTGATGACCTAATGATTTCAAATATCTGTTAAATACCCAGTAATGTGGGTGCAGAGCTGAATGCTGTGTTGCCAACATTCAGGGATGCTGAGAAAGCTAATTTTGTGCCGTGTATGTAAACACACAGTAAAATTTCTGGAAGCTTCAAGTGCTCAGTACCAGTGCAGATTAGCCATAACGCTTCCTGCCATAAATCTGATGAGTCTCGGCCAGATCAGATGTACTGTGTGCACACCGAATGCAGAGTTTCATATGTGCACAGTAAATCCTACATGCTGAGACCAGATGAATTTCCTGCCAAGGAGATGGCCATCTGTGGAGGGCAGCTTCTTCCACTCCTCTGGAAAATCCTCAACAAAAACAGAGCAGTCCTGTCACCAGGGAGAAACCCAAAACTGGTGTAGGTAGGAAGCATAAAATATATCAGCTTGAAGACTGTTTAATATAAACACTCAATTAGCATATGCTGCTCTTGGGGAAATAAGCACTTAACAGCACCAGCCTGACCTATCTGGTAGATACTTCTATATACGGATCTACAACTTGTCCTTGAAACTAAGAACAAATTAAAAAATTCATTGTTAAGTATTCAATTTAGGATTCTATTTTGAAAATAAGTGTATTCGTTTATTTTACATTACATTTGATCTAACTTAACTGGACAATAAAATAAATTGAATGTAAATATTAACAACTAAATGGTAAAAAATTAAGCTCTTTCCATAAACTAGCATTACGTTGCTACTGTAGATGTTTTACCACCTGGGTCTTCTTAAAGCAATTTAAGCAATGTGTAACTGATTTTTGTCAGGCATTGACTAAAAACGTTTTATAGTACATATTACAGTTGAGTTTTAATTTTTTAATGTGTTAAATAGAATTGTTTCTAGCTTTATGCCAGCATATCTTTGAGTTTTAGATTAAAATGCCATGGCAGCAACTGTAGGTCATGCACTTTTCCATCTGCCATTGGCAATTGAAGTCCTTGTACTTCATTATATCACAGAAAGGGAAAAAAAAAAGGAAAAAAAAAGGAAAAAAAAAATAACATGCATTGTAACAAATCATTACTGTTGAACTGGAAAAAAAAATCAACAGAGAAAGAAATAAATTGCTGCAACAAAATTAACATCTCCCTGCTCAAAAGTGGCTGCAGAGCACAGTACTCTGCTGCCCTGCCCTGGTCAGCTGTGTGTGATACATTCAGCACTGTTTATTGTTTTTCCACTCTGTCTAAATCTTAAAAGAACTGCACAATGAATCACAGACTTTCGGCTTTGTTATCAAATGAAATTTCTACAAGTCTAGGTGTTAGAACAAGTTACCATAAACTTGTATGGGTAGGTATGTGTCTTTAGGAGTGATACCTGTGATTTATGTTCAGATGAGATTATTTGCCCCTCGACAGAATCCTCACTGACTATAGAAAACGTTAAGAACACTAGAGTTAGAATGTTACATTTATTCTTATAACAGGACAAACAAAACTACCCTCAGTTAGTAAAAAAAAAATTAAAAAAATTGGAATTCCCTGATTGTTTTTACTTGCTGATTTTTGTGTCTCAGAATACCTTTCACTACATGGCCATATTCCTTTGGTCAGTTGGGGTCACCTGTCCTGGCTGTGTTTCCTCCCAACCTCCCATGCACTCCCAGTCTCCTTGACAGCGTGGCAGTACAAGGGCCTTGGCCCTGTGTAAGCCCTGCTCAGCAGTAGCAAAAACCTCTCTATATTATCAATCCTGTGCTCATCACAAATCCAAGACATAGTCATCCACGAGCCACTGTAAAGAAAATCAACTCTACTCCAGCCAAAGCCACCACACACATTTTCTAGTGAGCAAGGGTGGATTGAATAAATTAGTTAGCTTATTTTTTTTCCTTTTTAATCTGCAAAAGTGGGATCCTAAAACACAGTTTCTCAACAAACATGTTGCATTTCCTCAACCAGGTTGATAGCAAGATATTAAAAAATTAGATACAAATGCGGAGATAATATTTTGGAGAAAACACATAAATCCAGACTTGAAAATAATGATCCTAATTGCTATTAATTAAAAGCTACACAGAAGAAAACAAAGTTAATGACAAAGCTATACCTAAAAGGTAGAGCAATTTGCACATTGTAGGTCCAGTTACACAGCAGTTTTATGAATGGACGAAAAACTATTTTACCAGAAGTTCAGACTGAACTACCTTAGACTTCTTTTTATTTCTTTTTCACATCCCACAAAGGTTTTCTTTAGAGTCAGCAAGCTATCGCATGGTGCTCAGTTCATTATCCACTCAGTAATTTCCAGAAGGCATGCATGAGTTAATAAAAAGTCTATGGAAAGTTGGTATTTCAGAGGTTTGTTCTGTCCTCACAAACTTTAAATAAAGTGAGGTGCCCTTCCATTTTCCTTATGCTCACAACATTTCTGTCCATTAATCCATTTAGAATTGCTTCTAAATTCTTGGATTAATAATTGAAAACATTACTTTGTGAAAGCAGAAGCAGACACTAAGATTAATCAAGTTTTTAACTTCATGTTCTTTACCAGTTCCTAGTGCAGACATAATTTACCAGATTAAAGATTAAAAAAATCCAAAGCCTACCTTGACCCACATTTCCAAAGCCCTAGTAACTTCACATATCAAAGGTTTTATTTTTGCTATTAGTGGCACTGAAAAAAATTCTTTTGAGGTGGGTATAGGGTAAGAAAGTCCTTGGTCTGTCGAAGTTAGCTTAATGAGATGATCTATTTCAGCTACTATTAGGATTTCCCAAGAAGTTACTTGCAAAAGGAGCAAGGAAAGCTTCAGATTCTGTTCCTCAGAACCAAAAAGAAAACATGAACGTATTGTTGTTTCTTCCCTCCCTTATTTCTGATTCACCACTTCACTGGTCTATAATGAAAGGGAAAAAAAAGAAGAGAGAGATGTGGAAAGTTGCCCGCATTCACCAACTACAAAACTTATAGACACAAGAATAAAATTTCAAACTGTGCAGCTCTATCCCTTCCACTTCATCTAATTCAGATAATGTGCTGGAAAGACATCACTACTTGAGATCTGCGGGCTTTCAGAGGACAGAAAATAAACTGCTAGAGAAGAGAGCAGAGTGTGTGACTATTAAAAAAAAAAAAAAGTAACAGCAACATGACTTACGCTCCTTTTTCATATTTCAACATGATAGAGATCATACAGCATAAGAGACACACGTGACCAAAAAATGGAAGCAGCATGAATTCACATGGAAGATGCTTCATGTTATTCAGAAGGAACACAAAGCTGACATTTTATGTCTTTAGCTCTCCTGATAAAAAAAATCCCCAAAACTAATAATGGTAAATACTTGTTTTAATATTTTAAAGTAAAAGCTGACAGCCTAGAATGACAAGAATCAAAACAGACTGTCTATACCAAAACTTGCCTTTTCCGTTTTCTGGACACTTTGCAGATTTTTGCCCTTAAATATTTCAGCTCAGAACCATTCAAAACTGGTGATTACAGCAATTATCGGGGAAAAAAAAGGTAGAAACCCCAGACCGAAACCGTAGAGAGAAGAGTTTAAAACAGAATAACACTCCTTTTTTCTCATAGAATGGACATGCCCATTTCAAGAAAAGCTCCCAGACTTTCTGTTGATGGAGTAACCTATGGCTTGTGTACAGTTTTTCCAGATGACATTACAGCATGAGGATTCAAAGCCCTGCAAGAAATACAACAAGATGAGGTGGAAAAAGCTTTGGGATACTGACATAAGTAACATTTCAGCCTACTCAAACTCCTAAACTATTCCTTATTTAACAGCTTGTCATACAATTCATAACTGTTTTTCCTACGCATTTTAAATAAGGACTTTTTCGCAGTTGACATCAACTTCTAAATGAGATAACGTAATACTACAAATACTGCAATACTGTAAATGTACTGCAAATATTATGAAGCACATCCAAAGAAATTTCTTCCAACATATTCCTTTAATGTCTACCTAATCTTTATTATATGCAGAAAAAACCTCAGTATTATTTCTTGGTTGCCAAAGTAGACTGAAATAAAGGAAAAAGTGTAATAGTACTCTCCTGTATAAACTTAAGGAAAATAGTTTACTTGTTGTATTGGAAACTTATTAGAGTTACGAAGAATGCTTTCACTTTATTAGGTCAAAGATCACTAACTGCATCTACAAATCAAAGTTTAAAAGAAGTCTTTTTCTAAAGATGTTCCAAAGAGCAAAGATTTAAATTTGATACACTCAGTATGCCAAAACCCATCTACCCGATCCAGCATAGCTAGTAAAAATCACCAAGCACAAAGTATGTATCAAGTAAACGAGATCTTTACACTCAAACCATTTTTGGACCTTTTGTAATTTTCTTCTTTGTGGAGAATGATGAATAATAGCCATCCAAGTATAGTGTATGTTCTGTTTTCATGTGCTAAACCCTATCCAAAAGCACACAAAACATGCTCACAGAACTGGCAGTTCATGAGACATCAAATATGTCCCATGTATCACTTCAGTCTTCTCAAGTAAGCGTAATTCAGTAGTCACAATTGCAGGAAGTGTTAGATTCATGTTCAGATGGCACCGGGTCCTATTGATTTTGAATCCAGGATGTCAGATAGCTAATAGAAACTTTGGAAATACAGACTATTTATTTTCAAGGTACCAGATCTCTCTTACTCTCAGCATAGAATATTTTCAGGATAAATATATATCACTACAGGATTATGAGATAAATCAAGCCAAAACCAAAAGTAATATAGAAGCAAAATAACATTATTTATTAAAAGTAATTTAATAAAATGTCCACACGTAACTAAAACATGTGCAGAGGTTTAAGTATTTTGCTGTATTTTCTGAAGAAGAAACTCTACTTGTAAGTTTAGATTTGGTTGTCCTTTTTTTGTCTTCTTACTCAGTATTTTATAAGCTTCCATTTTCTTTTGCTTGTACAACCGTTGAGCTTCTTCTCTTTGTTGTTTTCTTTTTTCTGCTTCCTGAAATTAAATAAAAATATATGATTATGAAATAATGACATACCTTCTATGACTTCTATGACTGTGAAGCTACCTAAAAGCAATAAAATTTATTTTTGTATAGATACTGGCAGTTAAGTACTGTACTAACAGTAGAAACACCATTACTCTTAAAAGCATAATCAGGATGCTCTTTCAGCACATAATACAATCAAAACATATTATACAGCCTAAAGCTTCAAGAAAATAGCCAAGTTTTCTTCAGTAGAACATCCTACAATAAGGTTTGTTGCTACAATGCACACTACTTGCTTTCTGCAAAACGTGCTCCTTGACTATTCTCCTTAAACGACAAAGTTGCAAAAAATTCCCCACTTCCTCCTCTTCAGTGCAAGACAAAATGAGTGCAATACAGGAGCTCCCATGTAAATGTCTTGGCAGTGCAGATGTGCTACAATACTGGACACATCTGCATGGGACAGACAGAACGCAAATGTGCAGTACACCACAAATCAGACTGAAGGACCACTTCAGTTCTTTAGGAGGATTTTTTTCTAATAAAGTTTACAGTTCGAAATGCAGTGTCCCCCAAAACATGCAAAGATAATTCAGAATCCTTCAGTTATTTTGCCAAAACAATTAATATAATTTATCCTTTTTTTTAAAAAAAAAGCAGAGTAGCATCTACTTTAACTTACCTATAGTTCACTTCCTATCTAGTAATTTTACCGCTGAATTCAGCATACTGTTCTAAACAACACCCATTTAAGCTACCAACCAAATGCTTTCTCAAAGCAAGAACATTTATCTTACTTAGACAGTTGCTACTTACATTATTTTTTTCTGATGTTTACTAAATCCTATCCTACCATTTTTAGGCCAAAAAAGGCCTTTGTGGAGGCCAAAACTGTGCCTTTAAGCTTATTTCTCTTCCTAAGATAATTATTACTATTGTGGCACTTAGCCATCCTGTTTTGCCTAAATATCTTGAATAAGACTAAAAACGCCAACAGTTCTCCTCAGGCAACTCCTATGAGCTGTTCAAAGGAAACTCCTTGCAGCCTTGCTGGGGTTTTACTTGTTCCTATTCCCTCTAAATAAGCTACTCATAACATTAATTTCTTTTCACATGATCTGTAGCTAACATTCAAAAAAGCAGCTATCAGCTAATAACCATGTAACTCACCCAGACTCACGAAAGGATCAGCTTGCATAAAACTAAATACAGCTAAACTAAAGAAATAGTGTTTTATCCAGCTATATACTTATACAACGGTTACTGAAATTTAGCATGTCACCAGCAAGTCACACAATTTCTGCAAGTTGCACTGTGTGCCACTTTACCGTGCAACAAACAATGTACTGGGAGAGAATAAAAGCAGTTAAATAAGGATGTCTCAAATCAATAACTCAAGTGAGTCATTCAGCAAGGATAATATTAAGATATGTCCTGTAAAAATAATTCCCAATAAATTAGAATGAGGGGAATTACTAAAAATTTTGACCATGGATACTATTATACTTAATTGTTTCACTGCTGGTCAAAGTACATCAAAAGGTAACATGAAGACTGCATTATGGTAATGCCATAAGAAATAGGATGGATATTTAATTTTTCATCACAAGATGATGGTAATGTTATTGCTTCCCCTTCTACAATATTGAAGTGGTCTAATATAATCCACTGGGATATGCAGATCGAGCTCTAAGCTTTTCTTGATGTACCAACTGACATAATAAAATCCTGCTAACAGCAACTGCAAGACAAAAATAGTAAGAACGCAGAGAATGATATTCTGAATGCTTGTATGGCTGATAACAACTGTCAAGTTGAAAAACACTGAAAGAGTGCTAGTACCTGTATTCTTCTCCTACGGTCCTCTCTGGGAGACTGACAGGCAGAAATGGTATTAATCTAGTCTTTGTCTACAATCAAGTAAGAACTTTTTTTAAGATTTACCTCTTTCTTCCTAGCACGCTCAGCCTTTATTTTCTCATACTCTTCTTTTGCCTTCTGATTGGATGTTTTCTTCTTAAACTTCCCTTGAGTCACAACTGACCTGTAAGAAAAGGTACATGTACTTCAGACACTGATTATGATCAAGGAGACATAACCATATATCCCACAGCCACTGCAGAATCACAGCACAATCTTCCAATGTTTTTTGCACACTTAGGGAAGTCAGTTACAAATACAGACTTCAGAAGAGTCATCCTTCTACACTGAATGTAGAACTGTTTGCACCAGTCGTACTTGATAGCGAACACCATTCCACGCCATACAGTGAGCAATCACCACAAAAACACAACAAACTAAACTCCTTCAATGCAAAATGTACCAAAGACTGAACTGTACACAACTTTAGTAACACATACACCTTATCTGCTGGATACTCACATGGATGATATTTCATGAAGTTTAAAGAGTGTCTAAAAGAGTTTTCCCCACCATGCAAGCTCTTGAGAGCTAGAAAAACTGAATGCACTAGCTTGGAGCTGTATTATTTCTTTCTAGTTCCAACACATAGATGCAGCTGCAGAGACGTGAGGCCAGCCAGTGCTGGCAGACTGCCTGCCAGGGAAGTCAGGTTGGCATGGCAAAGTGAAAAAGCACAGTAGAAACAACCCCTTTCTAAAAGTTTCTTCTTGAATGAGATGGCACAGTAATGTTGGGAAATTAGATACCGGAAAGGTACAGTATTGTCCTTAATGCTGTGAAATAAGGAACTGCAACTCTGTTCCTTCCAGATTGCAATATAAAAGACTGCCCATGTACCTTTTACCAAAGAAAACAGAAGAAGAAAACCAGTGCCATTTGTCTGACATTTATTTTTAGTGGATTTTTCAGGTTATTTAGTTCTAATAATTTTTCTCTGATTTACAACAAAACCGTTACATAAACAGTGTGGTAGCAAAGATATTTCATGTTTAAAAAACATAAGCCTTGCCAGATATTTAGTGGTTGTTCATAAACTAAGTTTTTGATTACTCTATCACTTTCACTACAAAAAGCTGAAAAGTACCCATCAGCATCAAGGACATTCAGATGAAAAACAAAGAGAACATATTTGCTCATAATTTCATTTGAAAATACCACTATCCTCTGGAGAAAAATGGAAAAAATTTTGCTTTATTCTTATCTCCACCTTGTGGCAATACAGTGATGCCTCATCATCTCAAAACTACTTGCATTGCAACGTATTTTCCTCACAATCAGGAAAAATATTTAAGACCTATTGGCATTTTTAGTAAAGCACATCACCATACCGAAATCCATGTAAAGTGTAAGATCTGAAGTAATGATTTGATGATTGAAACAATTACTTTTTTTTAAAGATATATTTTAAAAACTTACTCTTCTGCTTTATTAGGCTCTTCTTCTGGTAACACTGAATCCTCTGGTGTCCTGTGCCTACGCTTCTTAAGCCTTTCTTCCTCTGCAAGGTAAAGATGTTTCAAGTGCTCTGGATAGGTATCAGTAAACTGATCATCCTGTTGGGAATGGACCTTTTTTCCCTTTCTCATTAATAATCTCCTGTACTGTCTTTCGATTTTTTGTTTCCTCCGAAATGCAAATCCTCGTCCTGAAAATATAAGAAAAAGGGAGTTAAATACACCTGCACTCAAATGGTACCAAACCATGCAACTGTTGTCAGGACAATTTCAATCTGTTTTCTTTACAAAATGTGTGTCAATTTTAATAAGGACCAGTGATACATTCAAGGATACAACAACTGTTTTAATTATAATTCCCTACTGTAGCATTGAAGCTTGTACAGATTTACTGACAATTATTGCCTAAACCCCAGAGAGAAGACTGCAGACATTGCTCCTTAATGCCTGTTCAACATTATACACCTTTGCCAACGCTTTCTGAATCCAGTGAAAAGATGTGGTAACATTTCACTTCTCTCCTTCTTTTGACAGCTTCATGAGAAACGTCAAAATAGATCCCAAAATAAGCTCTTAAAGGAAGTCTCAGGAAGACACTAAGACACTGATAATAATACTGTCAGCAGTAGCTGCTGTGACAAAAAGTCACTAAATCACTGTATTATGCTGTATTAATAATTCATTACACCTTTGCACTAAAACAATATTTTATTGCTAATAATTTCTTTCTACACATGTTCAGAAAGAGCTTTTCTGCAGCTCCAAAGGTATCCTACATCACAGAATCGTTTAACCATAAAGGAAACAACAAATAATGGTTGTTTCAGTCTCAATCATTATGGAACAACTTACCGAAGTTTAAGCTAAACATGTTTTTTCTCCTAATATGGTTTTTTTTTGTGGCATTAGTATTAAGAACTACTGGCTTTCCTAATATTCACGAACAAAACAGTTCTAAAGGAAAGTCAAACTAGTCATAACTTTTTATTTAATTCTTTCTCCAAAGTTGCAAATTCAGAAAAGTGCTGCTGAGGCCGATGATCTTTTTCCTATTCATTTTTACATCCTCATAAGCACCTATCAGTAGTCTGAACCTGTTTTCTAGTATGTTTAAATATACAGCTTTCCGCGGGGTCAGCACTGCCGAGTCCCGGGAGCTCGGACTCCCACCGGCCGCCCCCCACCACCCCTGCAGCCCCCGGCCCCGAGCCGATGGCCTTAACTACCCCTCGGGCAGCGGGCAAGGTGGGCCCTCCGCTCTGCAAAGGCGTAACCCTCGCTAAGGCCGCAGCTAAGGCCCAGCTCGGAGCCGGCCCACGCAGTCAGGCCGCCTTCGGCCTCGGCTCACCCTCCTGGACGCTGCCCACGACGGTGCGCAGCAGGACCGGCCTCCACCGCCGCTTTCGGCCCGGCGCTGGGGCAGCCGCGCCCGCCGCCGCCCCGCGCCCGCCACGCCTCGTCGCCGCCATCGCGCTCCCGGAGCGGCGCACGCCGATGACATCACGGAGCTGCGTCCCTACCCCGCCGTGCGGCGCCGCGCGCGGGGCCATGTCGCGGCCGGCCCGCGCGCTCCCGGCCCAGCTGCCCGCGGCGGCGGCGGCGCGCGCGCTGCGGGGCACGGCGCGGTTCGTGCGGCGCGCGCTCCCGCTGTGCCGCGCGCACACCGTGGAGTTCTTCACGCGCGGGCTCTGGGAGCGCCTCGTGGCGCCGCCCCCCCGCGCCGTGCTCGAGGCGCTGCGCGCGGCCGGGCCGCTCGCGCGCCCCCTGGCGGGGCCCTCCGGCCCTGCGGCGGCGCCGTGCGGTGAGTGGGGCGGGGGAGGGGGGGCGGGGGGGGCGGTGCTCGGCTCGTCAGGGAAGGGAGGTGCTTGGAGCCGTCGCGGTCCAGGGGAAGCGTAACCGCGGTGGGAATTGCACTGCAGTCTCTCAGTAGTGGCAGTTGTGGCGGTGGTTTCATTCTGTAAATTTCGTTCTGTAAATTGCATTCTGTAAATTTCGTTCTGTAAATTTCATTCTGTTCGTTTAGAAACGAAACGAAACTCCCAACCGTCAGTGTCCTTCACGCTAATTTCTGAAGAAGTAAAACGAAAGGAAACCCCCCCCCCTTAAAAAAAAAAACAACAAACCACAAACAAACCCAAACCAAACAAAAACCCTCCGCATGAGTGGAAAGGTGTAACAGTCAGATGTTGAAACGGGAGATGCGGAGGACAGCTGGAAAAGGCTTAAAACACCGCTTTCCAACATATCTGCGATAATGAGCGTCTGGCAGAGGAAGACAGCTGTTTTATTTCAGACAGGATCTGTTTAAGAGGCACTTCATATTTTTAGAATTTTCACGTACCTCAAGAGGAAGACAGCTATGAAACTGTGTTACTGAATTTACTGCAGTCCGACTAGAAGGGAAACATACCAGTAATAGTCTTTCAGGCAGAGCACAGAAATGAAGATAAAGGATCTGAAAGCTGTGGTATTTGGGAGGACTGAGCCCAAGCAAAGAGATCAGTTTCAAAACCAAGGAAAAATCTCTGACAAAGCACTTAGCCGAGAAAACCCTGCTTTGTGCCAAAGCTTATGGAGTGTAGATAGCTGTCAGATTGTGTTAGCACTGAAACGCTGCCTTAAATGGCACGTGAGACAGGGAAGCCTGTGGAGTATTATAGAAGGGTCCACAGAAAGTAGCATGTGGAGCTGCGTACTTTTTGGCATAGAAGGCAGGTTAAGATAATGATTTGGACTTGGAAGGAGATTGAAGAACTGTGAATTGCTACATCGCTTGCAGCATTTCACTGTTGGATCTAAAGACCTCTCAAAATATTAACTGTAAGCCTCATTTTTAAAGGGTTGAGGTATCTGGGAAGAAAACTCACAGAGTTTATTTGTGCATGAAAAAGACACTGGATTATAAATTAACTTCAAGAGCCAGATGGAAACAAGACAGTGGTTCAGTCAGCAAGCAAATATTGGGAAGCAGCAAGGACAAACTTAATGTTCTTGACAGGTAGTGTCAGAATCAGAACTGATTCAGAGAGACAGAATATAAAATTGAATGTAAATAGAGGCTGAAACGAAACTAATTATTAGATGAAATCATCAAAAAGAGAACACGAACTGAAAATTACTCTGATTTTACCCATTTCTATGGAAAAGCCCGTGAAATTATTCAGACTTTAATGTGGTGGCTGTAGAGTAGAATGAGAATCAGAAAGGCAGAGTATTGTTGTATAGATTTTAAAATCAAAAAATTATGATCTGTATTCAAAATGGATGTTACAGAAATTACTGAAACAAAAGAGGCAATTTATGGCTAAAATGAAACACACCTTTTAGAAGGATGTGAAGCCTTCACGCTGTGGCTAAAATACAGAATTTCTTCTGTGGTTTCTGCAGGGATTATTTCTGCTAATTAAGAAAAAAAAAAAAAAAAGAAGAATTGCTCCTTTTTCTGTCTTTAAAATTATAATATACTATTTAACAGAAGGCACTGTAATGGAATGGGCATGTTATTGCTATTTGGTTGTTCATGCCTTACTCGTTTGACTGCATGGTATCTGTGCATCCAGTCATAAGATGAAAAGACTTAATAGTAGAATATGAGTTTCTCAGTGAAGATACCTGAAAACATTACTTATATTTGAAAATTAATGCAGTGCTAGCCTGTATTAAAATTAAGATTGAGAAATTTAGGATTATAGCTTGAGTGCACTAGTGTAACTCAATAACATTAGAGATCAGAAACCAACCAACGTAAATTACTCTTCTGTGTTCAAAATTATCAGATATTTAAATTTTACTTATTTATATTTTAGTTATTTATATTTATCTTGAAAAGGGTATTAAAAGGCCCTCATAACATGCTGCCATCCATATAGCAACCTTTTTTGGAGTGTGGCTGTAAGGATAGATTTCTTTTGCATGCTCAAATGGATTTGTGGTTATCTCCCCCAAATACTTTACCCAAAATAGGTGAAAATTACATTTTTACTTCACATGGTAAAACCTTTGCTCCTTAAGATTTCGAGAAGTTTTGCGTTTACGCATTTACAATCCTAAACTATTATGAAAAGTTTTCGAGGATCTGTTGTAATAGGGATCCCAAGTTAAATTATATAGAAACATAAGCTGCATTTGACAGAATTGATCTGAAAATTTGAAGTTGTCAGTTCATGCTCACACAGCTCTGTAAACTAAAAAGTTACATCGTTGCAGATTGGCACAAAACTTGTTACTCTGGTCAGTGTTTTATTTCACTGAAGGGATTTTGACAAACATACGCTGAATTGTAGTTTTAGAAGCTAGCAAGCAAGAAATTACAATTCTGGGTACAGTATTATAAGCAAAAAGATAATCATGTTACAGAACATTACATCATGTGCTCTGTAAATCAATTTCAAAGAATATTTTCAAACACTTGTGACATTTCCTTGTAATGATCATATAAAGGATGGAACCCTTGTTTTCAGTTGTACCCTGCAGGAAAATTAATGATCCCTTTTTAAATTCAGAAAACTGGTTTATATTTCTGTACATCAAAAAGCTGACATTCGCCATATTGCATTTTGTTTATCGCGTCATTGCTGTAAATTGGACACAGGCACAGACAAATGTGTGTTTAAGTATTTTCATATTTTACTGTAAATTACTGTTTGTACTGTAATTCCAATTTTTTACCGTATTTTTCTTTCCTCTGAAGATTTGTTTGCAAATGTACAGACTAACTGTTTAAAAGACATACTAGATTTTTAGCTGGCAAGCTGGGGCAACAAATTAGCTTTAGCAGGAGTGTTATTAAAGGTGATATTAAAAGTAATCTTGTAGGATATCCTGTTCATGTTCTTCCAACAGATAACCAAGGAAATCACAGAAGATGGGTATTGCTGCATTTACTTTCAGCTAAGTGGGGTTTGTAAGGACAGTAAATATATTTTATATCAGCTGCTGAAAAAGTGAAAACAGGCAAGCAGTGGGTTTTTCACGAGCTCTGACAAAAGAAGCAGAAAACTCCCAATTTCAATAATCAGACTTTAACCTAGGGAAGTTATTAAGTTTCAAGATAAGTTTTATTTGTGTGATACAGTGGAATCAGGAGGAAGTAAGGTGAAAGGAAGACTGGGTTGCTAAATATCGTGAACTCTAGTTTGCAGAATATTTGCCTATGCTGTTGATTTTGGTGAGCTATTTAAAGGTCAGATGGGAAAAACGAGGGTAAATTTCCTCAAGGTTATCGGTTTAATGGTTTTCTATACTGGCATCGGGGTAGTGTTTTTCTTTTTGTGCTGTAACAAGTTTGTGTATGTAATTTACGTGATGTTTGTTGCTTGCTGAAAGTTCCCAAGGAGGTATATAACTTGTATTCTTTACAGAGGACATGAGAGATACAGGTTTTGCTGTGTTTTGCATGATGTCTGGTATTGTAGAAGTGAGGTGTCTTAGGTCAATGTCATTGCTGTATTTAGTTTTTTGGTAGATGTTAAGGACATGGCCATCCTGGTACCCAAGGACTTGATGTTGTTCCAGTCTGAAGAAAGGAGACTTTAAACCTTGCAGTAGAAACTGGTGAGATAGCCCTAGCTTTCACTCCAGGTATAACTTTAGTACAGTATTGATGTAATTACCATAATATTCTAATATGTAATTAATATTTGGGCCCATTTTTTAGTGAGCTCATATCTGCTCAGAAGGACTTTTCTAGATGAAGGGATATATATCCTGACCTAAACACCATCGAAACTTCTGTTGGGAGTGAGATGCCATTCTGGGTTGAGATATTAAGCAAGTCGGGGGCTTTGAAACAAACCTTTGCCAGCATCTATATCTGAACCATGCATTGGAGGGTTGGTGAGACCAAACTGGTCACTGAGGAAGTAAAAATTGGAGATAAAGAACAACATAAATGTATACTAGAATGTGCCAAACTTTTCTGTAGTGTGTTATACTAAATACTAGACCAATTTAAAGTGGTCATAATATGCATGAAAAAAAACGGAACACCCACTTCTCATCAAGGAATTTAGATTTCTCCTTCACCTGGCAAAACTGCTGAATGGCCCTGCACCTTTTGACTTAATTTCTCATGTCTATTGCTTTCTCAGTAATTGTTGACATAGAATTTATTGCTCGATGAGCCTTTTAAACCTTGTTCTCCCTCTTGGCAGATCAGTGATTTCTTTCCATTGCATCTGACCTACAGATTTCTATGCATTTTTTACTTATTCAGACTAACACAATTTGTGAATGCCTATGAATTTTCTGGAACACTGTTCATTTCCAGAAAATCTAAAATAAGTTAAATGAGTGAACCTCCCTTAAAAATAAACTGAAATTTTCTTCTTCAGCAATAACTCAGGCTGTGATAATTTCTTGTAAGAGCTCCTTGCATAACACCCAGCAGAAAGCAAAAATAATCTCTGGGTGTAGATATTCACTTCTGTTAAAACTTTTTTTTTTTTTTTAAAGAAAACCAAAAAAAACAATTCTGTCCATTGTTCAGAAGTGTTTGATTGTCTTATCCCATTATGCTGGCCTCTTCCATTATTTGTTTGACTTGAAAGTATTGTTGGAAACCAAATTTATTTTTCTTCAGTCATTTCAAAATGAACACATCTAATTTCTTGTCTTTCTGTAATATATCTTAGAGAAGAGACATTAGAAATCGAAATTCCCCCTTCTCCCTAAAAAACTACACTCTTTATTTCTGGTCTCTAATATCCTGTTATGCCCTTATCCTTCATGAAGACTTCACTAACTAAAATTTACTGGATGTTCAGAGGTTCAAATAAGGCCATCATTTAGAGAGAAAGGTGGCTTTCTTTTGTGATTTTCTAGTGGAGAGAAGTAGACTAAGAAGTGCCATGCAGACACTGAAACTTTGTTAATTTTGGTTACAGCTTAGACAGTATTAATTCTTCCTTAGATCCAAAATTTGTTTGCTTCACTCATGCCTTTGTAGTGTCATACCATGAAAATTAATATGCCAACGCTGTTGGGAATGTTTTCATCAAATTGTAACATATGCAAGACAGTTAAAAGCATTAGAGCTGAGGTCTATACAAACAACTGTATCTGTTGTCATGCCAGATTCAGGAAAGCTGCTGTGCTAGGTATGTACTTGCTCAGCATCTACTCATGACACAAAAGACAAAGCAGGAGATTTCCAGATCTTTATAAAAGTTTTTTTTTGCTGGTCTGGTTACATTTAGATGTTTAAAATAATTACAAATATATAAAAAATATTTGAAAACCTTAGTAGAATTCACATATAGTTTCAGTTAAAATAAAGAGGAATTAGTCAATACAAAACAATCTCAGAATTAATAAATTATTCATACTAATATGTTTCACTTAAAAATAAATGTACATTTTTGAAGCTAAGAACTAAGTAATACCAAACTGAAGTACTTCATCATCAATCTAACAAAATACACATTGGAGTCTAACTTTGGCCCACATCTGATTGAAAATAAAATTAATTTAATTCTCCCACTAGATTCACCAGTTACAAAGCAGATTGGAAAGTACATGAAAAGACTGATTGTAAATCAAAACATTTCATATATTAAACAGCTGCATTGCTTTAAAAAAATCTAGTAGCATACATTGGGCAGATGGGGCTGACTAGGAAATGTATAATGAGCAAGTTTGTAAACAAAAGAAGTGATAATGTTGACTGAATTAGCTAGTTAATTATACTGAAGTAGCTCTGCTAAAACAATAGATTTTTCCACATTTACACTAGTTCAACTAAGAGCAAAATTTGACCTTAGTTCTGAGGGGTGAATACAGATGGAGAAAAATAATGAGTTTTACCACTTACAGAAGCAAAATAAATGTCTAGTATACTAAGAATTACCTGTAGTTCTCTGTCAGCACTATTAAAGAGCTGTTAAGCACTGTTTCCTTTTATTTGCAGATGATGACATGTTTTCCAGTGCATTTTGTGAAAACTCTGAGAAGCTTATTGATGTACATTTGTTTGTCCTGGCTGCTGAGTATTATTCTTTGTCCAACCTTGGAGTGTGTACCCCATTAGAAGATGTACTTGAAGCACTGAAAGGAAACAGCCAGGGAGCAACAGGTATGTTTACATTTGTATTTTAATGAGCAGCAGGTATATTTATGTTTGCATTATAATGTTTATTTATTCTCTATAGTCCTGCGAGTTATGTTTTCTAAAGGTGGTTTCTTGTTTGTATTTTTCTCCCTACATGCTTCTCACTTCCATTTTCATTTGTTCCTAGATAGTTTCTTCATTGCCTTTATTGAGAAAATGGATTCTCTTGCTAAAATTTGAGCATTCGATATCACTAGACTCATCCTGAGATTCAGTTTTAAAGGGGATGGGACAGAGAAGTGGGCACATCACTATTTGAGATACCTTGTTAATTCCCTTTTTTTGTCTTCTCCCTGAGTAGCAAGAATCAGAGTTGCTACTCTCACATTTTTTAAAAGTATCACCCTAAAATATGAAAAATGCTTGATGTTTTAAAAGAAAAAATATTTTCTTAATTGTTTATGTTTTGGGCTAATACCAATTATGTGTGATAAAACTAGACTAATTTAATTTTCTGTAGTTAAAAAAATGAAATTAAAACACTCTCAAGTTGGCATCAAGTTGGACACCGGGAGTCTTACCCCTGATTATTTTTATTGAATCAGATGATAAACTGTCATTTATCCTTACTTGGACTGCTGTAATTTTTATGCAAATGTGCTATGCATGGAGTCCTCAGTCTCTCTAGACTTGTCACTGTCTTTGAGATTTCTCATTAGTTTTTAAGAGGCAGACTGGAATACACCTGGAATCGACTGTGTTTTATCTCTATAATATGTTAAAACTCTTGACGTTTCTTATCCTAAGTGATAGCACCATTATATAAATGTTGTGCATCGCTCCCATTTTCTACAGTGGTCTCTTTGCAATTTTGCCATTTTCCATGATTAGCTCCGCGGTTTTTTTAGAAGTACTGGAATGCCATGGCTAAGATAGTCTTAATGATTTGTTGTGCATTCGTCTTACTTTGTGGCTTCTTTCCTTGTGCTCTCAGTTCATCTGAAGCCCGTTTTTCTTGTTTGACAAGTGTATGCTGCTTTTTTTTTCTCAATTGCTTTTTAGTTGTTTTCATTTTTTATGACAGATGGGTTGGAGGTTCTGGGTGTTAGACCATTCCCTGGAGGTGAATGCTCTTCCACCCTGCCCCCCACCACGAGGTCCTCCAAACCCATAAGGAGCTCACATAGACCACTGCAGAAGGACAGACGAAAGAGGACATTTATTGTGGGAATGGGGGTTTATAAGGCTTTTAGGGGGGGTTAAAAAGAACCAATTACAGGCTCAGGGTCCTACAGAAAAACCAATCAGGTAAAGAGTTAATAGCCAATAGGAAAGTGTTAACAAAGGCCAATAAGAAGACCTCAGGATATCTTCCCGGGACATTCCTGCATGGGAGATAAGAGTTCTTTGCAGAGGGTGTCGGGAAGAAGGAGCGGTGACTTGCAGAAACGCAGAAAGCCATTTTAAGATATGTTTAAACAACATTAAAAACTTCTGCATTCTTTTATATACTGCAACAATTTTTATTATGATCTCATTCCCCATGTCCCTCTGAATTTTTTGTAATTCTGTAGTTCTACTTTGTTCTCATACTTAAGTTCATATCTGGATTAACTTTCTTGGACAAAACTTCAAGGATTCTTTCATCTTCTTGGCATGCAAAATGGAGCATCAGGAATAAGACAATTGCTGAATATTTTGTTCTCTGTTGCAGGAGTGGTGCTTGGTTGCATAACTGGGACTGGGGCTTGTGCTTTTGCAGTACTTCTAAGTTGTAATTCATAGGAAAAATAAGGCATGTTCCAAATGTATACAATAGGATTATAATTCAAAACCTTTGTGCTGAATTGGCAGTAAGTATCAGTTAAGTTAACTTAATTGAAGTTCTTGGTACTCATTTGGCCGAAGCAAAAGACCAAGTTATAGATTCATAACATGCAAGTTGCCAAATGGAAGCTGTGATCTTTAAGCTATATTAGATATTTTGGACTTAATTCTGTGTTTTAGAAGATATGATTTTTTTCTGACACACTAACACTTGCAAGTCAAGAGAAATGTAAGTTTCAGAAAATTGGCAACTTTATGATAGCCTTCTTTATATTAAGGATAATTCCATTTATGTTTCAAATGTTTTTAATATGTTCTCTTGTTCTAAGACAAACAGGCTTTTGAGCCTATTCCCACAGTTTCATACTTACATAGTTCTCTAACTTCTTAACAACCTTAATGTAGATATGTTGCTGTTCTTCCTTGGAATAATTCGTAAGCATGAACATTTTCAGCATGTTGTGGACACAACTACTCAGAATGGAGTTCTGAATATAAAGGGGTTCCCTGTTGCGTCCTTATGGGTATCACTGTGGTCCTGACTGCACCATCAGTTTGCTTGCACTGAGCACACGGGGTCCAGGAGAGCCTGGCCCAAGGGGAGGAAGCCAACAGGGAAAACTTGTTTTGTTACAGTGTTGTATCTGATAAAGGAGATGAGGGTTGGATTAAGAGTACTCTCTCTACAGGTACCTGTGCTAGGGGTTAACAGTGGTAATGAGCAACATTTCAATACCAACTAAAACTATTAACATTAAGCTTTCTGTCATTTTATCATATCCGAGGTACTTCTGTAAAGTATTTGAACCCCACTTTATGTTTTTCATCACAAAAGGAGATGATTCTCTAAATTTTTAATTTTTTTGAAATTAGTATTTGTTTTGCCTACATCAGTTGTGCACATAATAAGGAAATATATGTGTATAGTGTTTTTTTTCAATAAAGTAATTTTATGAGAGTAGAAGGAATTTACCCAGTGTGTGTAAAACTAGTATACTTCTATTTAATTCAAATTTTCAGTTGTCTGGGCAATATAAAACAGTCCTCAGATATATTTTTTGTATTAGTTTGTAATATGTTTGCTTGATTTTCAAAAGAGTGTAAAAATCTATCCAAATTTTAACAGAAAATGCAACAACAGTAAAATTTATTTTAAAATCCACAGTTTTCTACAAACAGTATCATTTTCCCTGAGCTGATATATAAGTAGTGTGTTCATCCTGCAGAAAGCAGGAAAAGAAGTCGAACAACGTTTAAGAAACTTTAGTAACTAAGGTGATAAATAATCTATATATGTGGATATCAACAAATTATGCTTTTTCCATCTGGAACCTCAGCTTATATAAGTTGGGTCATGTTTCTGACTTTCTATCATTATTGAAATACTTAATTTGGATTAAGTACTCTCTGAAATAATACTTCACCTAGCATTACCCCATTCAGTCATTTGAGTTCATAATATAGAAAAGAGTAAAGGTGCAGTATGTGGTCATCATTCAAAGTGACAGTGCTGCTTTGGAAACCAGTCAAACAACTTTTATTTCTGTCAAGAAGTTAAATGTCTGTTTCTTCCTGTTCTGATTCTGCTGCTTCTTCTAATGAGCCTATCCAGACACAAAAATCTTCAAATATAAACAGAGAGACCTTTTTTCTTTTTAATTTTTTTTTCCTATCTGTTTTTCTTTAATTTGATATGCTTACAAATTAAAAGCTTTTTAGGATGCTATGTAGATCTTCACAATTTCAAAGTTCAGGAGAATCTTCAGTGAAATGACAAACACTTGTTTCTACACTTTGTTTCATTTAAGTCTATTTTTTCTTTTGTCAGTTCATACAGTCTATATTAGATTTTAAGTACTGTCATAACAGTTTATTATAAAAACCCCAGATGTTTAAGAAATAGAGAGGTCCTGTGGGGTTTGGGAGAAATAGAGAAAACACTGGGCTTCTTATGAGCTCTGTTCAATTCCCCACTCTCTTCTAAAGAAGTAACACACTTGGCTGTATTCCCAGCATGATCTGATCAAGGAATGAACATTGTTTTTGCCTAATGATCAGTTTCTGGACAGATGAACATATACTGTGCAAAAAGCAGCAAATAGGAAAGTATGTTAATTCACCTAGTCGTGTAGAAAAGTCCTGTTTTCTATGAGCGTGTCCATCAGTAATGATCCCATTTCTTCTACCATCACTCAGAAAAATTTCCATCAATTTAACTATATGCAAGTATACTGTAGCATTAGTCCCCTAAGAGAAATGTGTGGGCTACTTCCAATGGAGTGACTTCTGAGCTCCTGCTTTAGCTGGGTGGCGTAGAGATTAGCAAGTGGGTGCTTGGTGTTGTCCACAAGAAGTAAACCCTGATAAATATTGACTCCATCTCATTAACACATTCTCCAGCAACACTGAAATGAGTGATTTTCTACCATAAAGGCGTAACAGTTCTATAACCCATCCATAGGGTAAATAAAGAAAAGGAAAGTTCGCCTTCCTTTGACTTTTCCCAGCATCACTCATAACTTTTATTAGTAATATCTCCTACTCGATATTGTGAGCAAATCTGCAGTATTAACAAGCTGTGATTATTAATTGTCCCTGCCCTTATATTTAATTTATATCAAGGTAAATGTGATAAATGAGACAAAAATTAATATTTTATAATGAACAGGGAGAAATAGCACAATTTTATAGTAGGAGCTGTTGTCTAATATCTGGTCAGATATTGTCTAGTATCTGGTAGATATGCTGCATCTTAAAAAACCCTGAGTTTTACAGTGTGTAGCATTTTACTAATTCATCCATAATTTAGAAGTTTAATCTTGCAATAATTTAGTGAGTTTTTAATTAAAAATTACTATCCTAAAAATATAAATACTGTAGCATATGTTAGCTGGGATTTTCTTCCTGGTTGGTCACAAGTCTTTGTTATTATGAGTTGTGTTAATGTGTATTTATTTTTATAATCTGGTATACAGGTATCAAACCAGATGAGTTTATGAACAATAAGAAATCACATGAAGTGCAAGTGATGTCAGAGCTGGTAGACAGCATAGCAAATTATTGTGGAATAAAGCAGGTATGAAAACATTTCTTACTGTTTCCAGATACCTTCCAAATTATTCTCCTTATTGTATGCAAATACACCATTTTGATATTCTGTCACTACTGGTTTTATTTTTCCTGTACATCATTGTAGCTAAAGAAGAGAAATTAGGGCCAAGGTGAGAGACAAATTTGTTCACGTGTGGTTCCAAAGGAGCTGCCTTTCAAGTGGCTCATAATTACTCATGAGGAATTTTAAGAAATTATGTTGAGCAGCTAAAAACTGTACTGCTTTTTGCTGTGGACAAGTACTGCCTTGTTTATCAGTATGATATTGCTGGCAAGTTTCTGTAAGTGTCAGTAGGAGAGCTGCCTTATGTCAGGCACACAGCAGTGCCACATAGAGACCAAAGCAGAGTTTCTTGAGAAATTTGGACAGCTCATCTCTTATTCTGGCACAAGACTTAAATTATTTCCCATTGTTTAATACTGTTCACCTTTATTTAAAATGAATTTAGATCTATTAATTAGGAATTTAGTTATTACCCTTTTAGTTGGAAGAGAGATGAAGTTAAGCAGAGATTTATGTAGCAGAGTATATATGAAGTACGTTTGGTAAAACATCAGTGACAACTGGACACCCAACACCATTATCACCCAGCAATTACTGTATGAGCTGGCCATTTCATACATCAGATGGCAAGTTCTTCCTTGAATGGTAAAGAATTGCAGGATTCCTTTCTCAAATTTGATTGTAACTTAACCTTTTTTTTTTATCATGTAACTGTGATTACACAGAGCACTACATTGCTGTTTCATTAAAACTGTGAGAGTTTTGCTTATGGATCTGTTGACAAAACACAAGTACGCTGACAATACTTGACTTTTTTGAGTAGTGTATTTCACATTCTGTTAGACAAAGGTACACCAATACCATTTCCTCAGTTTACATGCGTACAGGTTTTTTATAAGTTTTTGCCATGTTAAACTTCCTGTTAGATTCCATACCTTAGACCTATGTTGTGGTAAGGCTACATTTTTCACTATCTGGGTGAGCTGAGTTCATTTATTCATTTTAATCTCTGTAGTGCTAGTAACTGGACGGTGTATCTTCATCCTTGCTTTCAAGTAGAGACGACTAATGGCTCTGGACTTGCATTTGATTCCTTTCTACATCTGAGCTGCATTTCCTTTCAGTGCAAGGAGCTGTTAAGTGTAAATGGAGACTAATTTCCTTCAGGCTAATATTCATTTCCGCAAAGATTTGTGGAGAACAAACTATATTTGTTTAAAACCAAAGATTAATAAGGTATCTGCCTAGATTTTATGCTGAGCATATTTTCTCTGAGCATTTTTTTCCTAAGTAAATATATCTAAGTTTAAAATTAATGTACCTGTAGCATCCTGAGTTGCTGTAGGTACCACCATAGGGAAGGCTCAGAAACTTGGATTCAGCTCTGAATTGCTAAAGGTGAACTTTGGTTAGGAGATTATTTGGCTCAGACTGAGTTTAATTTAAATAAGCAAATGATGCAGCACCCTTGATAGGTTTGGGTCAGGCTTGTGGCATCATTGGAAACAGAGATCAAAATTCTCAGTCCTGGCCATTTGTTTTGTGAGATACGACTGGCGAAGGCAAAGTTTTAGATGGTCTTCTTATAACTGGGATTACCAAGTAAATAGAGAACCTAAAAATTAAAAGCCTTAAAATTAAGGCCAAATATTACTGGTTGAGACGCAATCAATGTGTGAGCATCTGATTGCTTACAGTGATGGAAGGCAGTCTCTCCAGCAGCTCTTCAAGAGCCATCCACAGTGACAGGTGTGGGTGCCCTCCTAAAATGGATGTGCTCTGTAAAGAAGAGTAGCAGCAGATTTGTGAAAATCTTTTATTCTATCATAAGCATGTTTTTTGACTTGCCAACCTTTTGTTTCAGGCAAGTATTAGTTGTTCAAGAATTGAAGACTTTCACATGCTGAAAAAGCTGTAGAAGAGTATACTTTGCTTATAATGCAATATTAAATGTTCTCTGCATTTGCTGTAAGGTGGTGTTTCATATAGCATTTTCATTTAGTTTTAAATAGTTCCTGTGAGATTCAGGAAGGAAAGGAAAGAAAAATCCGTGTTCAGAAAGTAAAAAAGTAAAGCCATCTTAATAACTTAACTGGAGTTTCAATGTAGCTGGTTACTAATAAAACTCAAACCAATCATTATTAAGTATAATGTCACTATGTCAATATGCTGCAATTTTTTGCAGGCATTATGCACTTTTATCAGATGGCTTTTTACATAGGATTATTTTTTGAAAAAATTGTAACATTTAATAAAAAATATTATTTCAGTATATCACTGAATATGAAATACCTACTGCTCTATATTAACTTTTTTCCATTTTAGTCATACCCTGTAACAACATTTATTTGCTCAAAGTTACAAATCCCTAATATATGAAAAGAGCTTTCCTATTACTTTGAGAAAAAAAAAGAAAAGCCTCCTTCTGGGTCTTTAAAAAACAACTCCTTTTGTTTTGGTTTCCTTTCAACTTAAAACAAATACAGCAATTATAAAGTTTTAGGAGAGTTTTTCCTTATTGATTTTTTTCTATCCTTCTCACAAAACAAAATATATGCGGCATTTAATTAAAAAATCTAGAGCCATGAAAACACATTTTACAACAGCCCGTGTCCTTAGGGTCTTTCTTTCCTATATTACAGATCACTGACAGCTTGAAAAATGCCCTCCATTTCACCTCCATAGCCATGATGTATCACTGGTGGTAGAGGATATTGCTCTCTGTTAGTATTTTATAATGTAGTATAATAAATAGTAAAATAAGAATAAAAGCAAAAATTTTAATACCACTGTAATCACTTCTAGGTTAATGATTTGAATTAAAACATTAAAGCAAAGTAACTAAAGGAGTTTTTTTCAGTTGTTTACTGCCCTCTTTAAGCACTGTTCCTATCATACAAGTGGAACTTTTTTTTTTAAAGAAATACTTGATTAAACTCTGAAAAGAAGCCAGTGTTTATTCCTCTTTGCTTAAGTGCACATTTCTTTTCTTTAATGTCTTTGTCAAAGTTTTCCTTGGAAATTTCAGCATGTGCAGCAAGACTTACAATATATAATGTAAGGATGATATAATTCTGCATTCAGCATCCATTACATTTGTGATTTGGTGCTGGGAAATGCTGGAATGCTTCTGGAGACAAAGTTCTTGATTGCACTGTGCCAAAAGCTGTGTTTAAACATAGTACCAAACTCACTGTGGACAAGAGCTTTGGAGTTTATTATATCATGGAAATTTCATTTTAAAAGTTCATGCTTGACAGATATGTTACAGATCGCTGATTACCTTTCCCTATGTAATCAAGGGAAGGTAGAGCAGGGAATAATGTAATGCAGTCTATTTTTTTAGTACAAGATCGTTGTCTGCTTATTATTAGTCCATTTTTTCTTTCACTTAAAAACTGTTCTCCCAGTACTAATTTAACAATGTAATAGTGTTTTCCTTTTGCTTGGAAACAACTAAAGAAACTTTCCCCAAACTGCAGCTTGTATCTACAGCCACTAGAGGTCACACTTAGGAATTAAGAATAATTCACTAGCTGTCTCTTGTGTCCAAATGCTGCTTTTCATAGAAATAATTTAAAACTTCAAGAAGTGGAAGTGTGCATGTTCTGCATAATTATAATATATTTTACTTAAAAGAGTAGGTAAAATTATTCCTTGAACAATTTTCTTTCCTTTTTAAATGACAGAATCACAGAATGAGTAAGGTTGGAAAGGGGTCATCTAGTCCAACCACTGTTCAGGCAGGGTCATCCTAGAGTACATTGCACAGGATTGCATCCAGACGGCTTTTGAATATCTCCAGTGAGAGAGACTGCAAAACCTCTCTGGGCAATCTGTTCTGTGCGTGGTCACACAGTAAAGTTCTTCCTTGAATTCATGTGGAACTTCCTCTGCATCAGTAACTGCCTTCATGTTGCTTCATGTCCTGTTGCTTGGCATCACGAGCAGAGCCTGGATCCTTCCTCTTGGCACCTTCCCTTGAGATACTTATAGACATTGATGAGGTCCCCTCTCAGATGTCTCTTCTTGAGGTTGAACAGGGCCAGCTCCCTCAGCCCTTATTGTAAGAGAGATGCTCCAGTACCTTAATCATCTTCATAGCCCTTCACTGGACCTGCTCCAGGGGCTTCATGTCTCTCTTGTACTGAGGAGCCCAGAACTGGACACAGCACTCCAGATGCAGTCTCACCAGCTTTGAGCAGAGGAGAATATTGGTGATAGATGTGACAAATAAATGTAATTTTCAGAAGTATGCTTAGATTATATAAATTCTATTTCACTAAATCCACTCCTGTACAGATTTATTTCAAGAAATTTGATGGATGTAGCATGCCTAGATTACAAATATACAGCAGTGTCACATGATAACTGCAGATGAGAAAGCCATGTGCAGCCTGGGTAAACAATTTTACCAAATAGCATGTATTCACCACTCTTCTATGTAGTTGCTGGTGACACTGGTCCAAATTTTTCTTTTTAATTCCATGACTGGCCAAATCTTTTTTATTAGAGTAATAATTAGAGTAATAAGAATATTATTAGAGTAATAAGAATAAATCTTACTTTCTCATTCAGTGACACTATTGCTGTATTGAGTATTCTTACCTGGTAAAAACCTACGCAGTTGACTTTAAGATCATAGAATCATATAATCAGGTGGGTCCGAAAAGGCTAACCCTTGATCCAACACCACCATGGTTACTAGACCATGGCACCAAGTACCACATCCAGTCTGATCTTAAAAATCTCCAGGATCGGTGAATCCACCACCTTCCTGGGCAGCCCATTCCAATGTCTGATTACTCTCTCTGTAAAAAATTTCTTCCTAATAACGAACCTAAACTTCCCCTGGCACAGTTTAAGACCATGCCCTACTGTTGGTTGCCTGGGAGAAGAGACCGATGCCCACTTGGCTACAACCTCCTTTCAGGTGGTTGTAGAGAGTGATGAGGTCTCCCCTAAACCTCCTCTTCTCCAGATTAAACAACCCCAGCCCCCTCAATCACTCCTCATAGGACTTGTGCTCCACACCATTCACCAGCCTCACTGCCCTTCTCTGGACACTCTCCAGCCCCTCAATATCCTTCCTGAACTGAGGGGCCCAGAACTGGGACACAGTACTCCAGGTGTGGCCTCACCAGTGCTGGGTGCAGAGGGACAATCATTTCCCTGGTCTTGCTGACCACACTGTTCCTGATCCAGGCCAGGATGCCATTGGCCTTCTTGGCCACCTGGGCACACTGCTGGCTCATGTTCAGCTTCCTGTCAGTCCAAACTCACGGGTCCCTTTCTGCCTGGCTGCTCTCCAGCCACTCTTCCATCAACCTGTAGTGCTGCAGTTGGTTGTTGTGGCCAAGTGCAGGACCTGGCACTTGGCCTTGTTGAACCTCATCCTGCTGGAATCAGCCCATCTCTCCAGTCTGTCCAGGTTCCTCTGCAGAGCCCTCCTGCCTTCGAGTTGGTTGACACTCCCCCCCAACTTACTGTCATCTGAAAATTCGCTAATCAGTTAAGACTTAATTCTGTGTTTTAAAGTCAGGAGGTGGACCAACAAAGCAAAAGAGCTAAGTGAGTTGGGAAGGATGATACTGATAATGTAGTTATTCAATCCATGTTTAATTTTTTAGGAAATTATTTTGCATGTGAAGTGTGCCTTGTTGCTCATAATTATAGCAAAATGTTCTCTTCCTTTTTTTCCCCCTCTGTTATCTAGGTGATTGATATAGGTTCTGGAAAAGGCTACCTGAGTTCATTTTTGTCCATGCAATACAACTTAAAAGTTTATGGAATTGACTCCTCCAACTCCAACACAAATGGTGCTTGTGAAAGGAACAGAAAATTGAAGAAACACTGGAGAGCATATCAGAGTCGAGGAAGAGCAAACCTCAAAACCCAGAGTTTGGAAAAGACAAATGGCAGACCAGTGGAAAGTGAAATGAAATATAAAACAATCAATGAAGAGTTCTTAAATAACACCAAAAGTCTTCAAAGTTGGGACCATGCGATTATGCAAGATTTAGTTCCTTCTCGTGGTTTCACAGAAATGGGTACATTTGAAACCAGGACAGAAACTGAAGCTGATTTGGTGGCTCAGACAAAATCTCATGAGAGCAAACTTTCTGAAGAGGTTCTTGCTATTCTAAATGTTCTGCCTGCTGATGCTGTAGAAGTTTTTTCTTCATCTCATTGTAACTGGGGGGAACTCTCTGAAGAAGAAAAAGTGCAAAGAAAAATGACATCTCTCAAGGCTAAAGCAACAAAGTCGAGTGAATCGAACCTCTATTTACCCTTAACATCTTGCATCACTGCAGAAACAGAACTCAGTGATATCATAACAGATCTGGAGGTTATTTTACTATAAATATTTACTATAGTTAGATTGTACATAGTCTATGCTGCCATTTCCATATGTACGTAATGTTTGTTGGGTGTACATAGAGTTCTGTCTGTGGTGTAAATGAGTATTGTGGCACAATAATGGTTTTCAATGAGGTAGCAGAAGTATGTCTAGGAGATACAGATTGTTTTTCTATTTTAATATATGTGATGGGACTATTTTGAAACAGCTTCTAGAATTTAGGAGGTAGATAATAATCAGCAGTCAAAATTAACAGCATACATATTAGCACGTTTAATTATTTTACAACTGTCATTATAGATAAAATCTAATTATTATGGAAGGGGTTATATTTATCAAGTAGATTAATATATTAAGTATTAGAGTTCAATTTTCCTAAATTTTCAAAGTTTTAAAGTTACAAATTTTTGTAATTTCAATCAAACTTGGAAGGCATAGGAGAATTTATTGTTTATAGTACTCAAGATGAAGAGTTCGTAAACAGTGTTTTTATTTTGACTTTCTGGAGTAAACCCTGGCTGGCAGGGTTTGTATCTACACAAACAAGCCCAAACTCATCTGCCCAAAGACATGACACAAGTCTAGAAGCTCTGTGATTGTATGTTTAGATCCTATGCCTGAACTAATGTACATTGATTGAGTTAGATGCATTCTGTCTTTTATGAAATGATAAAAAAATGCCTATGTGCAGTAGTAACCAAACTATTGTATTCCAGAGTGTAATTCATCTCTGATTCAAAACCATAGGTTTGTGCTGATGGCCCTGTAACTTGAGGAAATAAATGCTACGGAGTATCTGAGAATGTGCGGAGCAAGCTCATGTCTGTATGCAAAAGATACCCTGAGCAGCAGGGTTTGTTGATGCCTTTACATTTGTATCCTCTTAGCATGTAATATGTATGATGTAAAAGGTAGAAAAAAATCCTATAACACTGCCTTTCTTTATGGTGAAAGAGTAAAGGGGAGGTTTTACTGTTTTACACGTGCATGTACTATGTAATACAGATGGGTGAGAAAATCAGATAGAATTAGAATGATTATAGACAGGTATCCCAAGTGAGTGACCCTGGGCTAATTTCATATTGATAACCTGGAGAAGAGAAGGCTCTGGGGAGACCTTATAGCACCTTCCTATACTTGAAGGGGGCCTGCAAGAAGACTGGGGATGGAATTTTTACAAAGCATGGAGTGATAGGACAAGGGGCAATGAGAGAGGGTAGGTTTAGATTCAGTATTAGGAAGAAATTCTTTACTGTAGGGTGGCGAGACACTGCCATGGGTTACTTAGAGAAGCTATGGATGCCCCATCCTTGGAAATGGCTAAGGCCAGGTTAGATGAGGCTTTGAGCAACCTGGTCCACTGGAAGGTGTCCCTCCCCATGGCAGGGGGTTTGAAACTACATGATCTTTTAAGGTCCCTTCCAACCCAAACTGTTCCATGATTCTGTCATTCTGTGATTAATAAATATGGCTGAAATTCAAAGCAGCACCATGTTTACCATGCAGATTCCAACCAATAATGCCAGAAGGGAAATATCTTTTTATGAATGGTGAGAAGAGGGAAAATTTTGATAGAGAAATGGAGGGAAAAGGGAAATTGCAGAAAAAAGAAAGCAGGAAATAAAATGACCAGAAGAACGGAGCATCTGAAGCTGAAGTTCTTCCTTTGTGCCTTGGAACAGAATGGCAATTGTTGTTGTATAGGAGCAGGCATACTGAGCAACTGTGCCAGTACTACAGTTTTGGAAATAACAAAGCCTGCTCTTCAGCTTCCGTCTTTATTTAGGAAGTGGTTTTAATTTCAGCAATTTAAAGGTGCAGAAGTTCCATAGATATGTCCATCCAGATTTACAGCAGTAAATCTTAAGTAAGAAAAGGAACTAGCAGTGGTACTAATAACAAGAACAGGAAAGCTAGGAAAGACAAGAGAAAATGGCCTGTGTCCAGTCAACATGTAGATGTTCCCTTCCATGCAGCTGTTATTCATAGTCTTGAACCTCTCATGCCTCAGGGCTGTGTTTTCACTGTGTTTTTCTAGCACTGAAAACCTTTTACAAATATTGAAAAATTCTAGGGCAGAACAGCAGGAGTCTTCATGGAGTTGTGTACTTCTGCCCTACAGCTCACTCATTTGCAGCATATTTGGGTTTTGGAGTTTGTTTTTATTCATTCTCTTTCAGTTGATGAGGGAGATGCTTTAATATTGCTTTTTTTTTAATTTTTCTTTCTAGGACTGTGTGATGGTGGGTCTACATACGTGTGGAGATCTGGCTGCAAATACACTGCGAATTTTTGCTGCCAAGCCTGAAATCAAAGCAGTTTGCAGTGTGGGCTGCTGCTACCATCTGTTATCAGAACAGTTTGAAAACCAAGAAGGTAACTCTTCAGCGCTTAACTTGTGGCTGCAAGTTTGCATATTGAGAGTATTATATCTTTTAATTAAGAACCTTCCTTGTGTTTTTTCCTTTCCAGTGGCTTATTTAGACTGGTTTTAATAACATTATGTGGGTCATTCACTCCCGGATGCCCTGGAGCTTTTCTGTTATGCCAATATTCCTAATATTCTTACTGAGATTAGAGACATTAATGCATAATGTTTTTATGTGGTTATGCATACAGCTGGTTTTATTCCATTGCTGCTCTTATAAATGTGGAGACTTTTTTAGTCCAGTATGTTTCCATCCTTTCAAAGTATTTTGTACCAGACTTTGTCCATGGCTGTTTACATGCAACATCCTATTATACTGAGTTGAACATATACAACTATGAGCAGAATTAAGTTCTTGTAATGTAAAGTAATACTCAAAAAAACACTCATTTTGGTGCTGTGATCTGGGTCCTTGCCAGTTTAGACCATCATGGAACAGTACATACGTAACAGTTCTTCTTAGGGACACAACCTGAAAATTATTTTGGAATTCACACTATAGGCAAATTTTCCTTCAAATGGGGAGTTTTTTCATTTTTGGTAGAAAGTTTATATTTTTACTTAGACATTCTTTTACCTGAAGTTCTGCATAATGATAAACATTTAAGTAGCTGGCTTTCCTGATGTAAGTGATACATAGCTGAGCTGTCTAAATGACCAGATGCCAAATTCCTAGAACCTGATTGTCATATCAGCCAAAGCTGAGAAAGGGGTGGGTTGTCAAATTTTATTTCAGCTCTTTCAGGGAACTTCTCAGACACAGAAAGGCAGGTGAAACCCAACTGTCACTCTTTAACACTTAGGTGCTTAGGCAGCTAAGGCGCAGTTCCAGACTGATCGTGACATGTGCTTGCTTACTTTAATAATCTTTTCATATTGTTTTTGTTTTGCTCTGCAACATTTTTAAAAGTGTTTTTGCAGTGTATTAGTCTCAGTTATTTCACAATACTTTAGCCCACTCCAAAACCAAAAAAATTGAAATACAATTGAAATCCCTAAGTCATAGGAATGTAATTAGTGAAAAAACATACAATTCCTTTTACAGCAGAGTTTTAAGAAATTAGGAACTTTCCGCATACTTGTCTTTAAGTCTGAGTGTCTGAAACATTTGGTTGTTTCTTATTATTGCAAAGAGGACATGTCTTCCTGTTCTAGCTGTAGGGTTACATTTTCCAGACTAGTGCATAAAGCTGTATGAGATTATTGTTACTGGGACATCACCAAACAATCAGGTGTTCTAAATTCAAACAAACAGATATACATGCATGGTAATAAGAGAAACTGCAGTTTTATAGCAGTATGCCAAATTGCATGTTGGAGTTTCTAGCTGTTTGATTTTTCTCAGCTTGAAGGATAAAAATTTGGACAGAATAAAAGAAAATTACAGTATTTCTTGGAAAAGAGCACATCATGCCAGTGATGCATGCAAAAAAAAAATAGATTTTTTTTTTTGCATTGTTACTATGAGGGTGCATATTCTAAGATCTATGATGCTATTGTATTCCCCTACAAGTCATGTGACTTGTTCATAAATGTGCAGTGGAGAGCTAAGAGTGTAAGGACTGACAATATCTGTGATTTCTTCAAAGGAAAAATGAGAAAGAGTTTGGACTATGCCATGTATCCACTCTACCTGTGCATGGATTTCAAACTGACAAAGCATTCTGGGGGATGCTAGAGGACTCGGTAACTAATCAGATGGTATTGATCCAGCAATTCACTTGTACAAGCAGTAAACTAATTTCTACTGCAGCTACCTGATGCAAGTGAATTTCGGTACTGCTTCCAAAATGCACTAGATCATAGCATTTTATTAGCAAGTGGCTACTGGAAGTTATCTGAACTAGGTGATCTTGCAAGGCAGAGCCAACTTAGAGCATGCTGTTCAGGGCTTTGTCCATTAATGTTTTGTATATCTCCAAGGGCAGTGATTCAGCAACCCATTTCAGTGTTTTCCCTCACCATGAAGATCTTTTCATTGTATCTATTCAGAATTTGCAGCTCTTGTGCATTATCTATTGTGTTTTTCATTTTTCACCACCAAGAAAAGTCCAGCTTAATCTTTTCTGTCCGCTTTCCTTTAGGTAGTCAAAAACAGCAGTTAGAGATCCCTCCTTGACCTTTTCTGTAGCCCTTTAGTCCTCTTGCCACCAATAAATTCATTTCGATAAGTCATAGTGGTGGGCTGAATAGCCTAAAGAAGCACTCTAGATACTCTCACAGGTGCTAAAAAGAGGGAATAATCACATCCCTTAACCTGCAGGTTTCACTATATAGATTCAGAATACTATCAGTTTTCTGCCTACCTTAGAGTCCACCTGTCTGAGTCTTATCTTTCCATTTTTTATGTAAAGACACTTCCTGAAAGACTTGCTAAAATCAAGGTAAACTGTGAATGTACCTTTCCCTAGTTCATGGAACCAGTCACTGCATCACAGAAGGCAGTAGTTTATCAGTCCCTTGTAAATTCCTGCCTGCTGTTCTCAATCTCCTTGTTCTTCATTGGCCTGGGCATGGTTTCCAGGAAAATTTTTTCCATAAGCTTATTGAGACTTACAGAGCTTATTCAGGTCAGACTGAAGGTGGGTGTGGTGGTTGCCTTTTTCATGTAATCAGGAACTTCCCTTGATGGACATGACCTGTCAAAGGTGATAGAGTGTGGTCTTCATGTGACACTGGTCATTTGTCTCATCCTGAAATACATCCCTTCTGGTCACATGCAGTTGTGTTTTTCCAGTTTGCTTGTGTGGTCCTTGGGCCAATATAATCTCTACTGTAGTTAGTACTTCACTTGCCCGGGCTGTGACGCTGAGCTCAGGGAAGCTACTGGATGATCTAGGTGTCAGTCAGAGATTGCAGAGACCTTTACATGGAGAGACTAGTTTGAATATTAGGATGCAGTGATGGATAGGAGATCTTCCTAAAAAGCAAAGAGGATTGGGCAGAATTTGCTGCAACACAGGAAAACACTTATTTGTTTGAAATCAGTCCAGTATGCAAGGTTTTGCCCTCAAGGACACAGTGGGAAGTTCTGTTTTAAAGCATTTTATAGTTATTTTGTCTTGACTTTGTGGCTTCAAAGTTTTAAAAACTCTGTCTTAAAAATGTCATTACTCTTTTTTTTTTTTTTCCCTCCTTCAAAGTTTTTTTGTTTTCTTGAGGTGTGCACCCTTAAAGTCAAGGTTGTGGCAAGTCCAGCTCAAAGCTCTTTCCCCCTAAGTAGCACATTTTCCATCCTTACTGCTTCTTTAATGTAAACTCGGATGGTTGTTCTCATGAGCGTAGTTTAAGCACATGAGCCAGCTCACAAAAGAGCTGCTCTGGACTGTTGGTTGTCACATAACCTGAGATGGCTGGGCAGTGTGTTGTTTGGTAGTTAAGATTTAATACCAAGATCAGTCTTGTTTGAGGCCAGTGAAAAATTGCTCTTACGCTTCATATTAATTGGAATTAACTGATATTCATAGGGAGAAAATCTACGTGTTTTGATGCCTAAATAATGTTTATGTCTGAAGCAGTGAGTTGACAAAATATCAACAAAATGTTGCTATGATGTTCTTGGTGGGCTGCTGAATCACCTTGGTTCTCTCGATTTTGGGGGATCTTTTTTGTCTGTGAGCTTACTACAGGGAATAATGCATTACATTTCTCATATATTCTAAAGATAATAAAGATATTGCAAGATTGCCTGATTTAGTTTGCCACTGGACTTCCTGTGAGTACTTTGGGAGCATTTCTGATGAAAGTAGTGCCAGCAGTAATACAAGAAGCATACAGTGTCCTTCTATGTCTATAAATAAACTAAATTCATCTGGAAATTTTTGTTAAGGGACTACGTTTCCAGTTATGCTGGGAATAATTTTGAACTCTTACTATCATGAATGTTTTTGCTTTGATTTGTTAGTAGCTACAACAGCCAAGAGGTGCTGTGTAATGCCAAATTTCAACTCAATTTTAAAAAGCTGAAGCCAATGGCTTTTACCACCTGCGTTTAAATTGCACTGCTCTTATAAGGAGTACCAAATTCTAAGTTTCAGTTAATAAGCTCTTGGAAAATTCTAAGTAGTTTTACTTTGGCTCGGTCTAAGGAGAATTGTCAGTTTATATAGAGATTCTTCTAGGGATAAAATATGCATAGCCATTAGTAAATCTATTCCTTTGGTTTTTTTTTTTTCCCTGTTACTGCATTGAATAGTCAATTACATCAAAGTAGTAAGGATTTTACTATTTATTAGAGACTTTTTGCATAAACTTATTTACATAATGAGCTATTATGGCAGATTTCTGGAAAAGATCCGTTTGGTCATGATTTTTAGGGTTAGAACAGTAAGCATCAGGAGAATAACCACAGGGTGCGATTAGACTGCAACAATTGATGAAATTAACAAGGATCTGAATAGGTACTATTTATAAGTATTTGACAGTTTGAAATAAGACATAGATGTAGTTATATAGGTACTTTCAGTGATAGCTCTATTTGAGGTTGGCTTGAGTACTACAAATCATGAACTCCAGCTTTTGTAAGGATTTCTGAAGTCAGGTCACTGCTGGGCAGAGGAGTTCTATAGCCCTCTGGAAGCTGTGGAGAGTAACTTCTCAATAATGCACTCTGCAAGGAGTCAGCAAAGCTTTTGCAGGCTAAGCTTTAAGCATTAAAGGCTAGTGAACACAATTAAGGAAACTAAAAGGGTTGCAAAGAGTAGTCAAAATTCACATACAGAATTTTATCAGATTTGCGAAACCTGAAAAGGCCTTGAGTAAGGTGGATTCAGAGGAAAAAACTTTGCAACTGAATTTTCTGAAGGATTCCTTATGCAAACGGAATGGCTTCATATCGCTCCATTCCACTAAATAATGAAAGATTGCTCATTGTTTCGGAGTATTAGAGTACAGATGATTTATGTGTTGCCTAGGTATATTTTCATAGATATTCCATAGCCAGTGTCTTAAAATAGATAACTCTGACTTGTAATCTCTCTTGAGTTGGGTTCATTTCTCCCTATGGTTTAAACCAGCACATACAGCCAAGGCAGACTTAGTCTTTCCCATGAGAGAAAAGGGCAATTAAGTAGTTTATCTACTTTGTTTGGAATAACAGAAGTAAACTGAGAATCTATGATGTCATGGAAGATAGATGCTATGGAGGACCTGAAAAAGGTTATTTGTGTTTTATTATTAGCTTGATGAAGTTTCTCAGTGTATACAAAGAGACAAAGTATGATATATGTGAACAAATTTGAGGAGGGTAACAAAAATTAGTTTCCACTGAAAAGTCTCAGAATTAAAAATTACTTTTCAATCCATGAATTACATCATCAGTCAAAAGCAATTTGGTTTAGGGTTGGGATTCAGAGACTTACAAAGCCTCTGGGGACACCAGGGCTGGAAAAGGCATGCCAAGGGGAGCGTGACACTGCACCAACATCACTGCCTCCACACCTTTCTGATCTGGGTCATCCCATGCTTTTTTTTCTAGTAACAGTAAAACTGTTGGTATGTTGTGTTATAAAGACCATATTTTACTGTAAAGCTTTATGAAGTAAAATTTAAATGTTAACACCCTAGAAATTGTAGTAGTATTCTTAGATGAAAATCTATGGATGGCCTCGTGTTAAAGGTATTATAGAAGCTTGTCCCATTCTCTTGGATTTTCTTGTAATCATCTGTGAACAGATACAGAATTATTAGCTTTTAAAAGGATTTTACCTTTATCTTACTTCTACTACCATGTATTTTTTCTATAACCATTAAAAAATAGAAACATCAATATAAAATTGCTGATGTTTTATTATAATATTTGCAGCAATTTGTTTTATTAGATGTGTGATTTAGTCTTTTTTAGAATTTAGCTTGGAGGTGAATTTATAGCAATTTAACTAATATGTTCTAGGATTATACCCCAGCATAGCTTCAGTTCAGCTCATCAAATGATTACCTAAAGTTCTCCATTTTGTTAACTGTTCATGGAAGGAATTCTGTCTGATTCTGTACTGAATTATAACATGATTGCATCATGCACTGTTGAACAATCGAGCTGTTTACTGTGAAATCTTCCATGAAATACCTGTACTTAAAGTGTTTCTTGAGTGGTTTTGGAGATTTATACAGTTTAGAACAGCTGTTGTGTTCTCATATGGAAGCACAATAAGGTATTTAGTGAGCTATATAATATTAAGTATATCTGAAAGTAATTGAAGGCATTAAAAGAATGTCCAGGTTTTTAAAATGTAGCTTATAAATATATGAACTTTATAGTGATATATTAATCCTGCAGTTTTCATCAGCGTGCTTGAGAGTGGATTGGATATGAAAAATAAATAGAACTTAAGGCAATATTGTAGATATGCGGTCAACTTTGGATATACGCAGAAAATTCTTTCTAACTTAAAGCATGGGTTTTCCTCACTTTTTCTCCTACTTTACAGTTTCAGTAATTTAAATGAAGATGGTTCTTTGCCTGATTATCTTTTTCAAAGTTGTCATAAATTCCTCAGTGTTATGCATGAGTACACTGCACTGATATTGCGATTGTAGCTGAGAGGGTAGTAACTTCAGCTTGCATGGGTGATTAGTTTACCTGGAGGACAGGGTGTAAATTAGAAGGGATTTGCTTGAAAAGATCAATGATTTCATCTTTTTAACTCAGTTTACAAATTTTTATTTTGAAATATTTTAACACATGTTTTAGAAAGGCTTATTAGTGTGAATCATGTAATAGCAACCATGGCAGTCACTGTTTTCTTTGAAAAAAAATAATATACTTAATAAATTCCTATTGCCATCCCTGCAGTAGAAATACCCATGTACTCCATGTACTCATAGTCAGACTTGAAGTTAGTTAATGTTTCAGAGCTTGTCATGAGGCAAGTGGTACTACAATCTTAGTACCTTCCTAGGGCTGAAATCAATTGCAAGCTGTTTTGTCAAATTTCATCTTTATTTCTAAAGAATTTTCTTTCTCCTTCTGCTAATTGTTCAGAATTAAAATCCTGCTCTTAAATCATGGTACTTAAATCAATATTCACCTGCTATGAGCTTCTGACATTCCTCAGGGCTAAAAAGGTAGCAAAGTGTGAGGTTGCCTGCAGAAGATAGCCCGTTTGCTGTTACTCTCTGTAGAAATCCTCTGAGACTGGGCACTACTGCTAGAAAACCAAGGGCTTTGCAGGGGGAGGGTTCTTTATATTTTTTTCTCTTTTTCTTTACTTTCATTAAATGAATTATACTTAAATGTATCTCAGACTGTTGGTAAATTTGAAGTTGTATTTCTGCTGTCCTCTTCTTAACCCCATTACATGATTTATTCTTAAATATGCCCCAGTCACCTCCCTGTGCTAAAAAGCCAGGATCCCAGCCAATTTGTGGGGTTTTTTTTTTAAGATCAGCATTCTAAAAAATCAACTGACAAATGTGCTAATGAAAACTCTAAACATTTAGAGTTTGACTACATTTAAAACTGGGTATTAAGAACATCTATAAAGTAATCTCTGTACTTTAGTTTCCCCACATTTGCATTAGTGTTAAACATGAAGAATTATGTTGTTATTCAAAATATAAATGATACTGAAACAAACTGAGCACAGATTGTAATGCTAATGCTTCTTGATGTTTTGAAGAAACACCAAGAGCCTTTGCAGCTGCTCTTTTCTGGAAAACAAACATTCTGCCTCTAAGCAGAACAGTTTTTCAGAAATGGAATAAACAAATACACATTGTTCTGTGTGATGCTTAAAAGATGTTTATGACAGAATAAGAACACGAGGAGAAGTGGTACTGAAGTCCTGCTGCATGGAATGACTGTCTGGACCTGTATCTTGTGACTCATGCCATAGCATGGGGGTGCCCGGAGGATTTGCAAACTTTTCTCTTGTCCCTTTGGTTTTTCTTAGTGGATTTTTGTAAAGGACATTACATTCACTTAAAATTGTTTTGGAAAATGTGAAATTATCAGAAATGCAGCATAAACCAAAAATGTGTGTTACAGGCAGAACATGTTTTTCTACAGCACCACCACAGGTTTTGGTAACTGGATGAGAACAGCTAAGTGTTTCTGCTACCATAAACTACCGTTCTTCTTGTCTAATCCATTGTGCATTCTGTAAATAAGAGAAAAAGTGCGTTTTTTCTTTCCATTTTGCAGAATGCTGCAACGAAGTGTGGGGATTTCCCATGTGTCAGTACTTGAAGGACAAAGGCTGGTGTTGTGGTCGCAATGCTAGAATGTCAGCATGCTTGGTATGATTTCCCTTCTTTTCTTTTTCCTACTGAGAGCTTTGTCCAGATGTTCTAGAATTCATTGTTTTTGGCTTGTAATCCTAAAGCCATGACTTTAATCCAAGACTATACAGAATAGCATCATTAATGTTGTAAGCATGATAAATTATATCTAAAAAAATAGTATTGACCTTTCAGCTTTATATATTTGATACTTGCTAAAGGCATGAAAAAATGAGTAGTGACAGAAGTGTATTTTAAGACTGTACAGAAAGGCCAAACCTTTGCTGAAACTTAAACAAGGTAACCCCTCAGGGTAATAGTTCCTGGCCAAGGACTTAGGGGGAAACAAGGTAATTGTCAAAGGATTGCAATCAGTAACTCCCCCAATGCTTTCATGATTTGTAATACTGAATGTTCTGACTGTTTAAAACTTGAGAAAACCTGCCCATTCCAAAAACTAGAAGACCTCTGAAATCCAGGAGACTTAAGAATCTGGAAACATTTTTTTTAACATTGCACCAAGAGATGAAGTACTTTAAAGACCTAGCCTCATCAAGATAGGTTGATGAGCTGTTGTCTAATTTCAAGAAACAGATAGGAACTGAAAATTTCAACCCCTTTTAGTTAGAAGATTACTATTCCTTCCCTCTATTAATTTTTAATTTCTGGTATCATAATGAATCACATCAGGTCATGGCTAGCCTCTGCTACTAGCTCTGTACCTCTGTTACAGGGACCAGTGTAGACTAAAGACTCAGTTTTTGGTAATGTGTTGTGGTTACAGAAACTTGGACTAGCATGATCATTAAATGCTACGAGAAGAAAGTATAGGAGGACAGTTGTTTAGTATTCATAAGGCTTAAATGTGTTACCCTTGGAAAGTAAAAGAAAAGAATTGTTCATTTTAGAGATGTTGCTATAAAACATCACAAAAAAGGGCTTTCTAAAGAGATTTGCCTTTTCTCTTTTTCTTGTGTCATACAATACCAATCCTTCCTCAGCTGACACATTAGCTATTTCCCCTCCTATTCCATTTCTTTTGGAAAAAGTTTGGGCTGTTTTTCAACAGCGTTAGGAAGATAAATTCTGTAACCAAATGACCCCCAGGAGACAGTACTGTTCATGCCGTATATATCTATTTTAGATTTCTCAGAAATTTGGCAGTTAAAAACTTTTTTTGTTTAAACATTCACAGAAGGAAAAGAGTTCTCTTGTGTCACTAGATACTTATACTCTTAAGTTTGTCATTCTGTATATGCATTTTTCATGACTAGGATTTTCCTTGCCTTCTAGGAGATACAAGAGAGCCCACACAGTGCCACTAGGCACCATCTTTCTAGGGGTAAAGGCTGGCTAGGAGAGACTCAGTCTGCTGAGCAGTGACACTCAGCATTCAAATTGGTTTATGTGCCAAGGGTCAGAGGTGCTGGGTGCAAGTTTCAGTTTCAGACCCATACAATACATGTTAGAACCCACATCCATGTCCTAAGCAGCAGCAAATTAATGCTGGTATGAGAGTTGTAGCTTACACAGCAAAAGACAAACCTCATAGTTGGCCAAAGTCATGAATGAACTGCATGTACTTGGACTGCGTTTAAAGAACAGTCTGAAATACAAGGTTAGTTCTAAACTAGGAGAAGGAAGAGTGGATGATTGAGTAACAAGCAGTCTTATTTAGTGCAGTGAAGCTTGGGAACTAAAGGAAAATGACTCATAAGTGGCGAGGCATTTCTGGTTTGCTATCTAATTTGATGTAGTATCAAATAATTTACTGAGTTTTTGTCTTAATTTCTACTACAATCTTTAAAACTCGTTCAAAATTTTATAGGTACAGTATCTTTTGAACTGTGAAAGGGTATTCCATGCTTCTAATTATTTGTCATTCTTTGTCACTATGGATCATAAAAATCAAGTAGTCTTTAGCACCTACATCAGCATTTATAGCACGAAGAATCTAGTGGAAAATAATGCATATATAAAATATTTTAAACTGCAGTTTCTCTGAAGTTTTATTTGATTTAACTTTATATACAACAGTTCAATTTATCTGAGTACTAGGGATTAAAACTAATATTTTACATTGAATGAGTATTTACTTTTAAATAGTCAAATATGCAAAGTGAATTAACTGTATTTCAGTAGGAACAGACTCAAGAAAAACGCATTTCTTTGTAGTATTTTCACTGAAAGTAATCCTCTGAAATTCTCCTAGCAGACAACAAAAATCAAACAAATTTTGCATGTATCTAGTTCCACACAGTCAGATGTCATTACTTCTCTTGTAAATAAACCAAAATAACAGAAGTAGCTGATTAAGAGTACCTAAAGGTATTAACACTTTAGAGTGTGCAAGCTTGTGTTCAGTCACACCATTAATCTTTTAACATGTCATCTCCTCTGACTTTTATATAATGTGTTTATAAAATGTTATGATCAAGAATAAACATATCAGCAATTTAATTCCTTGACTCTTAAAGGCTTTGGAGCGAGTTGCAGTTGGCCAAATGGTAAGTAATACTGTTTATTTTAGCCATTCTAAGATAAAATGTGTTTTCCGCCTTTGAATGTTCTTAATCCATGGCCTTTTATTGAACTCCTGCATATCTGGAATCTAAAATACTGGCGTATATTACATCAAATCCTGATAGATAGCATGTGTCATCATGAAATCACATTTTTATTGCTGTGGTTGTACTTAGTGAATCTGTTTTCTTTTGACAATTAAGAGTCTGGGGAAAAAAGCACAGCTTAAAATTTAAGGCATTGAAATACCCTTTCTAACTTCCTTCACTATCTTTCGGCTAGTACATAAATTCAGTGCAAATGTCCTTCTGATATCCCTGGTTTGGATCACTCTATCCCAATGTTTTATCAACTAATGTAAAAATAGACATTGTTATGACAAAAGCTTGAACCTGTTAGAAACATCATCATTTTTATTTTTAATCCCTGTATATTTTTTCTCGGGAATATTTTGAATTATTTTTGTGCAAGTTATCCTTTAGGGGATGGTGGACACCAACTGTGCAAGTATTTAAAAGGCAAGGCTGAGAGACTTCTTTCCAAATGTAAGCCCACTGACTCCAGAAGTTTTTTCATGTGACTTTTTAATTCACAATCATTAACTATTTGTATGCAAACAGATCTTCCATACACAAAGATATGATATTGCCAGTATGTTCTTTTTTTTTGGCATAGTACTTTCTGCATGGTTCAGACTACAGTGTATGATGAGTCAGCTAGAGAATTATGCCTTTTGTATTCAAAACAGCTTAGCTAAATAATTATTTATTTTGCATATTAGAATTTGGATCATGATCAGTATGCTTTCCTCTGTTCTTTTTCCCTCCATCAACCTCTGATCTTCAGAGTTTGAGTTCTTTTTGTTCTTACATTTATGGTTATGTTAGAATCTGACCCAAAAGCATAATTTTTACTGGATGCAAGAATGTTAGTAAATTGTCCTCCTAAATCTGTTGTGACTGATTGTACAGAACTCAAGTCAATATGTTGTTACGGAAGCCAATACTGTTTTTGTTACTCTGATGTTAATTTCACTGCCAATTTTAAATCCTTGCTGTTGTAAAATTTTTTGCAGCTGCCTACAGAATCATTGTTTTATCGAGCTGTTCTTCAAGTTATTATAGAAGAAATGTATGGTGTTACCAGAAGGTAGGAAGCTCTGAATTCACAGAATACCAACCACAGATTTGATTCTCTTCCACCTCTATTCTGTAGAGAAAGTATTTTGTATATAGACATTAGTATTGAAGTGCAGGAAAGATTTACTCATCCTAAATCTGTATCAGAAATGTATTGCCCTTCCTTATGTGTAGCTGAAGTAGGTCCTCTTGGTACTGGGTACATGGGTGAAACATACCTTTGCTAAAAAGTCAGTGCAATCCTGGACTAACCTGTCATTCAGAGATCCTGGAGGCTTTAATACTGCAGAAGGGAAAAGGCATTTCCATTTGTCCTGAGGAAAACTACTGAAAGCTCTATGGCCATTATGGCTGTAATGAGCTACTCACTGCCTGTGCCTACCCCGGCAAGTGCTGCCTCCTTGTATAGTGGGATTTGGAAAGCTGTTGCTGAGGATCTGACATCTGCATTATACTCTTTCTTGTGGCTGTGGTTGGATTAGATTTTATGTAATTCTGGGGGATGTATGCCTGTTAACACTTGGAGCATGTCCAGAAGCACACCTTTCAGTTTAATTCAGTTTGAAAATAACCCATTTTTTGAGCTCTGATACTATTCCACAGTGGGAACCAAGGCATGAGAGGTGGGGAAAACCAGAAAATTCACTTCAGCAATGTACTCCAGATCTAAAATAAATGCTAATGCTTATACCCCCAAAACTTATGCTAGATATAGAGTCAGACAGCTTACCCTTCAGAAGGTCAAATTCCTGAAAGAAGAAATGCTTCTTTATTTTAAAATTACATAAAATATTGCACAAAAAATTGTGACTGTGAAATTGTAAAGAGAGTAAAAAGTATGAGATAGATGTTTTATTTGTTAAAGGAAGCAATTAAGATTATACTTTTGAAATTAAAGCAATGGCTACCTTGGAAAGACCTCTGCCATCCCCAGTGTTATTTCTGAGCATGATATTATATGGCATGGAATATAACTATGGTCCATTCTGTTCAGCCGTCCTGGTTGTGTTCCCCTTGCACTCCTTGTCCACCTTCAGCCTACGCACTGAGAGGCAGAGAGAGGAACAGAGAAGGCCTTGATACTATACAATCACTGTTTGGCAGTAGCTGGAGAGTTGGTGTGTTACCAGCACTGTTTTAATTGCAAATCCAAAGCACAGCACTGTATGGGCTACTGTGAATAAGTTCTATCCTGGACAGACCCAGAAAACATCTCTTCCCCAGTAGCTTGTTCTAAGAGGCAGATACCCATCTTCCTAAGAATGACATAACAGCATAATCATTAACTGATTTCCAGACTGCATTAGCCCAAATGTTTAGGTGTATCTCAATATTAAATATAACAACAGAAATGATTCTCAGTGAGTGGGGGTCCTGGACAGCTAAACACATTAGAGCTGCCACTGAGTGAAGTCTTTCTGTTGATCTCAGCAGATGTTAGTTCTAGTTTTTAGATAAGGAGGTCAGGTTTTACTAAGAATAAAGAAGGGGAAAGGTTTTAAAGTAAGATATTTCTATCCAGTATTTCACTGGGGGGGGGGGGGAGGGAGGAGGGAGTGTATTGTTAAATAATTCAGTATCTGAAAATTATGTATCTGAAAATTTAACTCCTACACTGCACAGCTGGAAGAGGGATTATGTTAGGACACAGTCAAGAAAATGAATTCAGACTAACAAAAATTTTGCATGTTGTTTCTCCAAGATATTTTAAACACAGAGAAGAGAAAGAAACTTGAGTGGCCTGTTAGGATTCTTCCCATATTTTTTTTTCCCCCCAGTGTTTATGCATTATTTTAACATTTTTCGTGGGAAAAACAAAAACAAAAACAAAAAACACCACATATTTTGGGCTACCTACAAAAGCAGGCTGTTGAGTTGTAAGCAGGAGAAAATTCTGGCATCATTTAATGAAATAAAAACTGCAGGGATAAGAACACAAGGCAACAAGCAAAAGTGACATTTGCTCAGTCCACTGCTTAATGATAAAAAATTGCAGCAGCATTATAGTAAGTTATAGAAGTATAGAAGGAAATATCTGTTAGCAGAAATAAGAATTTTATCATTCATAGAGGGAAATAAAAATATCAGTGAAGAAATTAAAAACAAGCTTCAAATAACTTTCAAATTTTTACATAAAATAATAACCTTATAATAACTATAATGCAATTATACAATTGCTGTGTCTAGAAATTACTTCAAGTATTAGCTAGCTTGTTTTAAGTGGAAGGAGATAAAAAGGCAGTTGTTACTAACTTGGTAGTAGTAATCATCCAACTGATTTATTGCTCCTGAATTAAAAATTAGTTAAAAATATATGAGTTTCCATTGTTGGATGTATAAAAGCCTATATCTCCATGCTGTATTTTCAGTGATCGACGTGTTGGAAAAACTTTCTCCAAATCATCCTCCTTCATAGATTATGTCAGAAGGTCTCTGAAAAAACTGGAACTGGATGATTCGAAGGTGAGTCACTAAATAGAGACTAAATGAAATTTTATATCCCTGTAAGTTCTAGAAGTTAGCACCACAATGGAATTGTTTAGGCCACTGAGTTGATTTACTTCCTATATTACTGTATGAATATAAAGCATTATTGTTTTTATTAATATTAATGGCGCAATTCCATGCTTGTTTATATGTATTCAAAAAAACCTACAACATCAAAGTTGGGGTTTTTTTTTTCTTTTTTTGGAAACAGACTTCCATGTTTAAATTCTTTAAAATATTCGGATTTAAAATTACTTTATTCTAATGACTTTATGTAAAAACAATCCTTTTTTTCTACATGGTGCTTATAATCATGAATTTTTAAGGCTTTCTATTATTTCTGAAGTAAATCTTACAAATCTCTGTTAAGGCTAAAAATATAATACTGTATTTTATACATGTTGTCATTTAGAGGCAAATATACTTTTCAGATGCTGAGTAAAACAGGCATGAAGAACTTCTTGCCTGAGCTGATACTTTACATCCCAGTAAAAGTAACTCATGCATCCTTTTAAACCAACTGAAATACTATCCTATACCTTTATCCTATGCGTTTTTATCTGTATTTAAGTTTAAACTGAAAGAGATCCAAAAAGTTATGAACCATGAATCATGTAGTAGATACTTTGACCCCTTTTGATTTTTTTTTTTTTTTCAATATTATTGTGATCCTTTAGGACACCTTTTCAAACTGAAAATGTAACATTATAGCAAGATAGGCATTTCAGTCTGTGCAATATGTTTCTCTTACAACTTAATTGCCAATGTATTTCCAGTTTATTTTAGCCTTTAGACAGTCTTCCTAAGCTGCCTTTGAAGACCTTTGAAGGCCTAATACCTTTTTTCCTTTAAATTAATAAATGTTAAGGAGAAATATTAAAGTAACTTTCCTAGATAAAGAAAAATAAGTAAATTCAAAATTGAGTTTTAAACTTACAAAGTCTTTTGGAGTTCTTATTTTTGTTCTTGAGTGTCATGTCTTAGTATTACAACTACTCAATTGGTCAACAGATGGCAACATAACATTAGGCATGGAATTTGAGCGTGTAAAGATCACAACTATGCTGTGAGAACAAGTCGAGCCATAGAGACACTAGAGAGTACTAGACAAAGAAAAAGTAGGAGTGGCAAGTAAGTAAAATATTTAAGGTAAATGTTGTTGTAGTCTTTCTTAAATTAGTGTTTAAAATCTGTAGTCAAAACATCAAATCACTTAAAATTTGCCAGGCACATCAAGCATGATCTGTGAGAAAAAGGCAAAACCAAATAAGCAAATAAATTCAAATTACATTGGAGTCATGCTTACAACATTAAGTAAAAGATTTATGCCTGAAGTTTGCAGAATTTTAAAAGGATTATATTTAGTTCTGTTTGCAAATGCAGTTACTTGTTTGCTTTTCTGTATAAATAGGCACCAACATCATGCATTCACCCCTGCTGAAAGTAAAATGTGTCTTTCCCACTGTGTGTACAATCACCTAAAAGCAATAGTGGATTTTTTGTGCAATAATCAGTTTACAAAATCATTGATTAAACTCTGCTGGTGGAGATTTATTCAATGTTTTCTTTAAAACCAATAAGCATACAAACTTTATGTCAAGAGGTCTGATTTTAGACATGCTGCCTTTTGCTAGAAAGGGTCTGGACAAATGCAAGTTGCCCTGAGAGAAAGATATCTGTCAACACTATTTCAAACTGCACATTTGTGTGGTTGCTAAAGACCTGATTCAAGTCCATGCTCACTTTTGCTTATGTTTCTCCTCATTTTATGTGCAGCTGGCTGCATACTGAAGACTGGACTTTATGCTGATGTAAACAATATTATTTTTTATTTCCCAGCTATGTTGAAATCTGCAGCAGCACAAAAACAGTGCTATTTTGATACTACTGAGAGGAAAGTTGTAACTGCTCCCTCAGCTGCGGTTCTGACCCTGCAGTTTTCATGGTGGAGTCAGCACTGTATCTACACAATACTGGAGAATGTGTTAAATTCCTCTTTTCAGAAAAAAACCCACATATCTAAAAATGTGGTAAAGCCTAAACATTTGCTCTCAAAGACAACAAAAATCAGAGAAATTTATGCAGAATTTGATTTCTAGCTCTGTTTAGAAATGAACAAAAGAACAGCTGTTCTGCATAAACCAGAAGTCTACTTTGTCTCTGGCAGTGGCCAAAAACTGATGCCTTGAGAAGAATATATGGTGGGAGTAAGCATATATGAAGCTTATTTCCAGAATAATCCAAAATGTCCTTGTCATTCACAAAAAAAAAAAAAAAAAAGGCAATCACTGTTTTAATACATAAATTTATTTAGGTTATACTTAAAAACAACTAAAACTTGGTGAGACTTTGTAATACAACCAGAGAACTATGAGAAAAAATTGTTTCCGTATGGGTCTCTGTTTTACATGTGCAAAAATATTTTCTAAAAATCAGAAGTCAGGAAACTGCAAGTCTACAGTATTTTACTAGGCTTATCAGAAAATTAAAGATAATTTCATCTCTGTATGATAATAAAAATACTGGAAAGTAGAGGGGTATCAAAGAATCACAGAATATCCTGAGTTGGAAGGGACTCAAAAGGATCATTGAGTTCAACCTTTAGCCCTGTGCAGGACCATCCCCAAGTGTCACTCCATGTGCCTGAGAGTATCATCCAGATGCTTCTTGAACTCTGTTAGGCTTGGTGCCTCCACTTCCCTGGAGAGCCTGTTCGAATGCCCAACCACCCTCTGGGTGAAGAACCTTTTCCTAGTATCCAGCCTAAACCTCCCCTGACACAGCTTCTGGAAATTCCCTTGAGTCCAGTCTCTGATCACCACAGAGAAGAGATCAGTGCCTGCCACTCCTCTTCCCCTCACAAGGAAGGCATCAACTGCAATGAGGTCTCCCCTCAGGCTCCTCTTCTCCAGGCTGAACAGACCAAGTGACCTCAGCTGCTCCTCGTACAGCTTCCGCTCAAGACCCCTCACCATCTTCGTTGCTCTTCTCTGGACGCTCTCTAATATCTCAATATCTTTTTTTATAATGTGGTGCCCAAAACTGCCCACAATATTTAAGGTGAGGCCACCCCAGTGCAGAGCAGAGTGGGACAATCCCCTCACTTGACCAGCTGGCGATGCTTTGCCTGATTCTCCACAGGACATAGTTGGCCCTCCTGGCTGCCAGGGCACTGCTGACTCAGATTCAATTTGTCATTGATCAAAACCCCCCAGTCCCTTTCCACAGCAGTGCTTTCCAGCATCTCATTCCCTGTCTGTACATTCAGAGTCACCCCATCCCAGGTGCAGAATCCGGCACTTTCCCTTGTTGAACTTCATATGGTTGGTGATTGCCCAGTCCTCTAATTTGTCAAGGTAGTGGCACTAAGTTTTTAGGAGTCACTGCCAGGGTTTGGTAGCTTGTCATGGATGGTAGTATCTTGGATGGTTTTGATCACTGTGGCTGAATGTGGACTGTGGGATGTAAACATTCTTCCAAACTTATGGCCCATGATAAGCATCACAACTCTTTCCTTAATATGCACCAGTGCCTCTCTTCCTGATCAAAATGTAGCCATGGTGCAATCCAATCATTTTCCAGTCTGGACAACTGTGGAGGCAGGATAAAGAGTGCAAGTATATAAAACACCAAACCTGCCTTGATAACACTTTTTTGTAAGTGTATGTGTTTTGCTAAATATTAAACTGACTCTTGTCAAATATAGTTATCCAAATAGTAAGTTTATTTTTGCTATTCAGTAAAGATAAGTGAAATCTTCAGTAAAAATTTGTGAAATGGATGTGAAGTTCTTTGCTTATGTGAAACAAGAAGCAGACCCTTGATGAAAAGAGTCTCAATCAGAAATGAGTTAAAATTAGGCAACATAGTAAAATAGTTTTTCTACAAAAGAAAATAAGCATTTATCAATAACTGAGGGCCATTGTTACGAGTTAGTGTTCAGGGACTGAAGTTTCCTATTAACTGAGCCAAAATAATGTCCTCCATCTATGGTGTTTCTTTTCAGTGTGGAAGAGCCTGTCAAGTCCAGATTAAACCTTTATATGCAAATGAAAAAATTTTTCTGCCTTTTGATACAGGACCATTCCCTTCACACATCTCTCCACCTCGGTAGTAAAAATGAGGTATACAACATGACTTCTGCATGTCTGACAAAGTATTCTCACTTTGTGAGGGCAGAGAGTGTGAGCGTGATGCTTCACAGGTATGGTTATATTGCTTATATCTTCAGAATTAATGGAATTGCTTTATGGGCCATGGATCATAAAATCCTAGAAAGGACCTTAAAGATCATCTAGTTCAACCCCCTTGCTGTGGGCAGGGACACCTCTGATTAAACTAGGTTACACAAAGCCTTAGCCAGCCTGCCTTGAACACTTCCAAGGATAGGGCATCCATAGCTTCTCTGGGCAACCTGTTCCAATGTCTTGCCACCTCACAGTGGAGAATTTCTTCCCTATATGTAATTTAAACTTGTCCTCATTCAGTTTAAAGTCATTCCCCCTTGTCCTATGACTACATACCCTTGTAAATAGTCCCTCTCCAGCTCTCTGGTAAGGCCCCCTTTAGATACTGGAAGGTGCTAAAAGGTCTCCCTGGAGCCTTCTCTTCTCCAGACTGAACAGCCCCAATGCTCTTAGCCTGTTGACCAAAACTCTCTGAGTGCAGCTTCAGTTTAGAGACAAGAATGCCTCCAAACATGTGGGACAGTGTCAAAGGGTTGGCACAAATCCCGGTAGATGATGTCATTTGCTCTACCCTTATCTACCAGTGCTGTAACCTCGCCGTAGAAGGCTGCCGGATTTGAAGGCACAATCTACTGTTAGTGAAGCCATGCTGTCTGTCACCTACCACCTCCTTATTTTCCACATGCCTTAGCATAGTTTCCAGGAGAATCTCCTCCATGATCTTGTCAGGCACCGACATGAGACTAACCTGTAGTTCCCTGCATCTTCCCTTTTCTTGTTTTTGAAAAT